TTCCTTCCCTTCCCCATCCAACCCAACCCAACCCAACACAGCTAACCTCCCTCCCCTCCCCTCTCCCCAGTCTGCCCCTCCTGCAGCAACATCCTCACCGTCTCCATAACCCCACACTCCTCAACCCCCGCCCCCACCACCAACACCACCAACACCTCCTCGTCCCACACCCCCGGCACCATCAGTGATCTCACGGGCGCCAACCGGCTCGAATGCCTCACCTGTCCCTACCAATACATACTCACGCGCAGCATCTACGACCGCAAAACCTTTGTGCGCGAGGAGAAAGAGGATGTGTTTGGAGGCAAGGATGCCTGGGCCAATGCCGATACCTATCCGAAACAGTGTGCGAATAGTGAGTGTGATGGCATGGTGGCCGCGGCCCGCTTTGTGCAGATTAGGAGTGCGGATGAGCCGATGACGGGGTTTTATCGGGTGAGTTTTTTTTCTCTTTCTTCTTGGGTTTTGGTTTTGGGGTTGTTGGCCCGGGAGAGGGGATGGGGATGGGGATAACATTGGGGGTGAGATTCTGTGTGAGGATGTAGGCTGATGATTTATGTGCAGTGTATGGCTTGTGCGAATCAATGGAGAGAGAATTAGTTGAATGGGGGCTGATTTGCGAAATGGTCACTATTACAAAATCAAGGGAGATGGGTGTGGGAAGCATGTTGTGTTCGCGGCTGTGTAGGATTTGTCATGGAGATTGTGTTGGACAATTTGAGAGCAAAAGTGCTGAGAGCACACGGCGTAAGACGTTTGGCTGGGTTTTGCAACAAGGCGCAATGGGTCAAAATACCTTGTGGGCAAAGTAATCTTCATATGGATGTAGATAGCATATCAAAATAGGCGTCCAATTCTTAATGAAAAGAAAATTCATAATACGTTTCTTACTTCTCGACCAAACTCCTCTTTGTTGTAACCGACTATTGCATATCTCAAACCCAGAACTCCTGGTAATTTTCCAACCACGTTTTCCCCGAATATCAGAAAACCGAGCTTACTCCGTTGCTCCAAATTCATGAGTAACCAACCCATTCCCCTCCCCCATCCCCAACATCACTCCCTTCTCCCGTCTCCCTTCTTCCTACTCCCTACTCCACCTCTCCACGGCCGCATAATCCTCATTCGCTAACATACCCATTACCTCCATACTCAAGCAATCCCTCCTAAAGTTCTCATTCTGTAATAGTTCCAAGTGTTTGAGACTAGGTCCGGGATAGGTGAGAAACTTGAGATATGGGGGTTGGGTGAAGTATTGCAGGTAATTGAGGTAGGCGATGAAGGGTGGGGAGCTGAGGAGAGTACCGGACGAGAGGGAGGCTAGGTGGTTTAGGTAGGAGGGCGAGGAGATGGAATTTATGAACTGAGAGGGGTTAGTGGGGTGCGGGGTAGGTGATAGGATGAGGAAGAGCGGGGGTGGAATATGAGAGGGGGGCAGAGGGGTTGTGGAAGGAGTATGAAAGAGAGTATGAAAGGGAGTGTGGGATGTGAGTAGAGTAGGCATTCATGCTACTTGCATGTAAATATGCAAAACATAATCTATGTAGCTCTACCAATCCCACCATCACAATCCTGATCTCCTTATCCCACACCCACTTACTCCCTCCACCAGCTCAAAAAAACATTAAGATTCCAAACATACTTCAAGTTCAATTTCAAATCTTGTGAACCCTCCAAATTTCGGTTCCTCGGTTTTCCCCGGTACCGGCGGCGTCTCTCGATTACTCTCATCCATGATGACATCCTGCAAAGGGGAATTGGTCGTCGTCATTTTGTTTTCGTTTTGGGGCTGCGTTTAGAACTTTGGATGGGTGGTGCGGGAAACAAAGTAAGGGATTAATCAATCGTTCCCGGGAAGATATGCGGGTGTTTTGAGGAACTTTTGGGGTGGTGGAACGGAAGACGAAAAGAGGAAAGAGGAATGGTTTGATGACGTCTTTGAAATTTGGTTTGATGGAGATTTGACTTGGAGATTGAGTTTAGACTTTGCTTTCAACGGTTATGATGCGCGGGGATGTTGGCTTGTGAGGGAATGACTTTTATTTCTTTGATTATGGTTTGCAAGGCTGTAGATCCGATAAAGCTTGATTGAAGCTCGGATAAGGCTAGGATATGGACTTAAAAGTTAGATGATTAGTCAGCTCTTATCCAAGGTTGTAACTTGTCAACCAAGGTTGTCCACAAGGAAGAGATGACTTATTAACATTGAGCATGGAACTGGGATTATTGCAATTGCAATAAGAACTCTTTGCATAAATATGGCTTTTGAAGACCTCTCTAGATTCTTCAATGGATTTTCGTTGCATGAATTATGAAGTTGTCTTACTTGATAACCTGTCTTGTGAAATTAGACTTTTCTTCTTTCTCCCTCTGAGCTGAGGGGTGTTTTGTTGGTGCTTTGAAACTTGAAATGAGGAATAATGAGGAACGTCTACCGGTAACTCATACCCAAGTATAGAAGTGGATACATACATACTTACTTATTGTCTCTCGTACCTGAAACTATCATAGGTCCCCTATTTCTTAACCCCTCTTGGTTGAGATCTCCATGGTTGTAAATCCACTTGGGATGGATTCAAAACTCCAGTTTTCGGCATTGGAGTTCTGTCAAATATTGAGTGGAAGTTGTTGGGTAGGAGGAGGATGTTGAGTAGGATGATATGAATTCTTATTATCAAGAGACACATAACTAACTCAGCTCTCCTATGTTAATTTTACGATATATTAATTGTCCACCACCCTACCCATTTGGGAAAGTTGTGATTGTGATACAGCAGTCGAAGTGATAGCAATTGAGTAGTGGCTAACTCAATATATATAGCATCAGCCGATTGATTGATCACCTTGGATGATGACGCCTCTCGAACCTTAATATCAATAGTGAAGTGATGGATTCGAATGAGGATATAAAAGTTTATGAGCAAGGTTTCCCCAAACCCTCTAAGTAACTTCCTTATTCGTAATATAAGGAAGGAAGATTAAAGAAGATATAATATTTTATTCATAGACAGTTACCAAATAAGGAAAAAGTGTGATTGTAATCTAAAATCTTACCAAAAAAAGGAAGACCATCCCCCTTCTCCCCTCCAATATACCCAGTAAGAGAGATTCAATCAATACCCCCAACTCCTTTTTCCACTATATTCACAATTTCTTGTTAATACCTCATCTACAATCGCACAATACTTCATAACAATACAAGATTCTAATATCCATTGTTTTCCCCCTACCTACAACTCAAAAAGGAATCAATCACCTCCCTCAAATCATCATTTGGATAATTCAGAATACATAAGTCCGATTGTTAGAAGCACAACAGACTACAGATGGATGATTACGGCATTTACAATCACAATCAGATTCCTATACTCCGTACAAATTAAAATCAGGCAAAGAACAAGAAAGAGATACAAACGAACTCAGAGACGGGGACAAATACTCCCTCCTATCTGCGCTTTTCAACCACTTTATTAGATTCCGTACACACAAAACTTACACCTTGGACCCCCTTCTCTGTCTCCCTCTCCTCTGCCAGCCATACTGGTTATCGATCGGAAAAGGAAAACCTAACTTATACATTTGTACAACCTTGATCTCCATCCATTCATCCGTCCATTCATCCATTCATCCATTCATCCATTCATCCATCAATCATCATTCATTTTCGAACATCATCAAACTACAATTCACCCTTCAATTTCTTTCGAACCGAATATCAAAACCCCGAACCTAACTTACCTGCATTTACCAATCCATACCCATCTTCCAACTCCTGAACGATTTCACCCTCGTTTCCCTACCCATAAGGTACCACAATTACCAAATTCGAAGATCATCAACGAGTCGAATCGAATCCACACTCAATAAAAATCCCTCGAATCAAATTCGACTTTGGATTGAATTTGTGACAAAGATATCAAGGGAGACGAAGGGGAATTAAGATTACGATTGTGCATCAGCATTTTCGCATCTCACATCCTATCCCATCCCATCCCTTCCCTTCCTATCCATATCCAACTTGATTCGATTGCGAATAATTCATCCTGACTTTCAACAACGCGTTCCTTGAAGAGGAGAGGAATATCATATCCAATCGATTTCACACATCCCAACCACGAATTAGTGCTGGTTCTGGTTAGGCCTCGGTCGCTAAGGAATCCACCCGTTACCTGACACACAAGCCCAAATCGATCTGTCTATCAGTTCTATTCCCCTAGTTCCCTTTCACTCAATTAATCAACTCGTGGTTAGAAGAGGGAGAACCAGAGGAACCACGGAACCACAAGAACAGGAATCATCAAAATATCAAAACCATCTAATATCCAGCAATCGTTTCATTCCTTCACAAAACCTCTTTAATCTCCTACGAACAATCAGTTCATCTTCTTGTCTTGTTCCCTAAACTATCAAAATTCCGAATATCCTTCATCCTTAATCCTTCAAATAGGAGCGAGAAAACTTTATTTCCTTTCCACACCAATACGACGACTTCAAATTCAAGTAAAACGGATCAAGTTTCTTGATTCCTTTTAACGACTCAAGCCAAAACTTATTACACTAATTAATTCTGGAATTTGTCTCGTCATCACAATCACTGCCATAATGTCGTTAAGTTCTATCCAACCAGATCATGATGGTAAGTTCAATTATTATTCTTGTGATCTATGCGCCATGAGCCTGCGACGACAAAACTGCCATCTCCACTTATCATGGCTGGCTTGTGTCAAGTTGGCTATCCAGCGTTTCACTCTTTTCCTATCTTTCCCCATCATCGACAAGCACGAATCCATAGACTGACCTTTAAATCTTGTTTTCCGAATAGGTAATCGATCGCCTGGAATCTCAATCAATCTATCGTCCAACAACCCCTTTCGAAATCGAGCCGTGTCTCCAGCTATGCCCTCTTCTACTCAACGTTCCCCCCGAGAACCTCCTCCACGACCTCTATCACGAAATCCATTTCTCGATTCCTCATTAATTACGACGCAAACAACATCCCCCGAAAAGATGACATTCTCTCGAACAAGCCCAACTTCATCAGGATCAGCTCTGACTGGAAACGCTGCAGATCTATTTGTACGTTTTTTCTCCTAATTCCGTTGGTTGGGCATGAAGTCTGGCGAACACAAGCCCGCATGTCCAGGAGGGATTCAAATCATATAGCTAACGTAAAAATAATCTAGGACGAGCTTACACTTGGAAATAAACCCATTCCAAATAGGAGTCAAAAACCAGTATTGATGCGCTCAAACACTGGCGCTACTCAACCACCTCCATACGATCAGGCAGAAAATGTTCCACCTGGAAGACCATCAGGCCACAGACCAATGCGATCCCAGGAAGAGGCTATGCGTGCGAGAAGAGCACATGGAAAGCCATCCTCCAGCAGACCTCGCAAAGAAGAGGAACTTGACATATTTGCCGATCCCAACGACAGCCCAAGACGAAGAGCAAGACGTAACTCCGATACTTCTATCGCTGATCGAAAGCCGAAATTACTTGATCCAGAAGACGAACGCCGACGCACAGAAAGAGATAAAAGACATCGTGATCGTAAGCGTGCACAAGACAAGACCAAGAAGAAGGCGCCTCTTGATGTCATCGATCAGCTAGATGCCACTAGCATTTTTGGGATTGGAGGCAAGTCATCATTCTTTATCATCGATTATAGTAACTCGTACTAACTAACCATGTTTAGCATTTCATCATGATGGACCATTCGATGCTTGCTTACCCGGCCGTAACCGAACGGGAAGTCGACGTGCACCAATGCAGGCATTTGCTAAGGATTCAGCCAACAACTCTCTTGGTGGTGGAGGACCCCTAAACAAAAAGCCTGATCATGCAACATTTATGGGCAACAACGTTGCGGAAGCACATCTTGATTACTCTCGTGGAGGAGATAAAGTCGACAATTACGAACCTTACACACCCCGCCCTGGAATGCCCAGCCGTACAGAGTCTGCCGTCGAAAGTGCTACCACCCGTGTTGAGCCAGTCCATGGTCCAGAGTCCATGGGGCTTGGAACTTCGACTTTCCTTGAAGGTGCCCCTGCCTCTCGTGCGGCCGTGCAAAGAAATCAAAGTGAAACTGGTATGGATGGTGGCTTGTCTCGTAAGAAGTCATTGGCACAGAAAATTCGTGGTATCAATGGCCGACGCGACTATGGACCTTCTGGAAGAATGACTAGCCCAGAAGGCATGAACAACGCCACTTCTCCAGACGTGTACACAACTGGCGGAAGCAGATCAACTGAAGCAAGTCCATTCTTCAATGAATTCAACAACAAGGGGGATGACACGATCAGGGAGGAGACCGTCACATTTGCTGAACTACCACCAAGACCCGGACGCTCTCGTGCTCCTTCTAATCCTCCAGGAATCGAAAGGCGTGTTACCAGCGATAGTATTGGGGAAACATCCAAAGCACCCACATCAAATGGAGGAGGGTTCCTATCCAGAGTCAAGAGTTTGAAGGGAGGTCCACGAAAGCCAAGGGTCGAGAACAAGCCATTACCGACCCCTCAGCTACTCTAATCTGTTGATTAAGAGTATGATCGTCAACAATCTTTTTATTGAATCTTAGAACGAAGATATGCACGTCAGCATCGGATGATCTAATATCTACCGAATACCCATGCTCCTTGTCACTTTTTGTTCTCCTTTTCTTCTCCTTTTCTTCGCCGGTATTGCCATCCGGATGGCCTATTTCTCTGACCTAATGTACATGAGTTTGGATAAAGAGACTCTGCACAAGCTTTCCGCCTAGAGTTTTCTCTTCATATTTCCTTCACCCAATTCTCCACTTTGGCTCATGCAAAGCGAAGAATTTTTCTTTTTTGAATTGTTTTTGGGTGTCAAGTCGCCCATAAATTGTTATTTGATTTTACAGGCGTATGGGAGCACACATGGACAAACCTGTAACTCGGGATGTGTGGGAAAGAGGGTGAGGAACTTCGGATTCTTCTTTCATTTTAATAGTTTTTGGGGTTTGGAGTGGGATTTGAATGGCAAGGGTAGGGTGGTGGTTGAATGGAATGGGCTGAGGTATTTTGGCTTGGAGGGGAGAGTTGGTTAGAGCACAAGCTGGGCGAGGCAAAAAAGAGATGATTTGCGTAAAGTCGAGAGTAAGAGAGGTTTACACTCGATGTGTGGTGCCGAGGGGCGTATTGTGCGGGAAGGTCTGAGATGGATATGGAGAGAGAGAGAGTAGTAGTAGTCGTAGTAGAAAAGAATACGCATACGTTCAATGATTAATTGAAGGAGATTTTGCATTCAAATTGAATTAATAGTCGTATGAGGAGAGTGCGTGCTTCTCTGCAAACAAGAGTTAACAAGATAATATAGTATAAACATTGCTATGCTAACATTATCAAGTGAGATCTTTGAATATGAAAACGAGTTTCATATATTAACTATATATAAAACTACCATCCGATTACTTTAGATGAAAACTTTGAATTTTATATTTTATATTAAAATGAGTCGCTAAGCGGATGGATAGGTAGGTAGGTAGGTGATGGGAGATGGGATAGGATGGATTGTTAGTGAGTGAGTGAGGAGAAATTTGAGGATGGGATGGGATGGGATGGGATGAATGGATGGATGGATGGATGGATGGATGGATGGATGGATGAGATAGATATTGCTGGGTTGCTGGGTTTGAGTGGGTGAGTGGGTGAGTGGGTGAGTGAGTGGTGAGTGGTGTGTGGATGAGTGGGTGAGTGGGTAGGTGAGTGGGTGGATGAATGTGTGAGTAAGTGGGTAGGTGAGTGAGTGAGTGGGTAGGTGAGTGGGTGGGTACGTATGTATGTATGTATGTATGTATGTATGTATGTATGTATGTATGTATAAGGAGCCTGGGGAGTTCATGTAGATTGGGGTTGGGGTTAGGATGGGGATGGGGATGGGGATTGTGGAGAGAGGTTGGATTGGGAAGAGAGGTGGAAGAGAGGTGGGGATGGTGTTAGATTGGGGATGGGAGAAGGTTTGGGGATGGGGATTTACTATATCGATAGATATACTCGAGTATATTAGATATAGACATTAGATAAATATCCAAAATCTTTACCTGTAACTATTTAAACTTGTTATGCTTGTGTATATATACATATATACATTTCATTTCATATTATTGCTAATTACTATACTATACTCGAGTAGTGAATGAGTGGGTGAAATAAGTACTGTAAATAAGCAATACATAAACTCAATAGAGTCTGAGTCGGCATAAGATTAGATTAGATTACGTGTTATATATATATAGTAGGTAAAATGAAATATTACCTAGGTACTACTCTCAAGTTCCTCTTTCGTTTCGCTTATTGCTTGAGCATGTATTAGAGGCTGGCCCGGGTCAGATCTATCTTGTATAATGAGTTACTAGTATATCTTGTTTTCTTGGGCTCTTGGGCTCTTGGGTTCTTGTGGTATTTGTGTTGGTGTTGGTGTTGGTGTTGGGGTTGGGGTTGGGGTTGGGGTTGGGGTTGGGGTTGTCGGGGTTGTATTATGAGGATGAGAATGGGGAGGTATATTGTAGATGGGTGTTTGTGTGGAGTTTATACAGTATTTGTATCTGTAGATGGGATTGGGGTTGAGATATTCTTTTATCTGCCCGAGGGATTTTGTTTGCGGATTATGGAGGATTGATATGATGATGATGATGATGATGATGAGGGAGATAATGTAATAAGATAGAGAGCCCTAGATATGATATAGCGATCAGAGTGAAAAGAGAGATGGTTTAGTGGAAATGAAGGAAATGAAAGGAATGAAGAAGAAATAGATATAGATTGTTTATTTCTATGATTATTTGTGTTTATGTACTAGGTATTGACGGATGTATTGTTAGAGGGGATTGGGGGGTAATGGGGGGGTATCATATTGGATGAAGTGGATTGGTTAGAGGTGATATCGATGTGGTTGATGATTTCTTCTGTTTTGATGAAGCAGATACGAGTAATGTGTATCGGAAGACTGAGGGTATAGGGAGAGAGTATTGGAATATGGTCGCTTTGAGTTGATATCCAAAGGCTCTGATTTTCGGTATACTCGCCAGATGGTGAGTTTGGCTGAATTTGATAGTGAGAAGGGGTAATTGTTTTAGATGAAGCGAAGGTGGAAAGGGGGCTCTATTTACAAGTTAGCGAAAGAACTACGAGTAGTAGTCGAAATTGATATTCCGACTTTTTTAATTTTATATCATGATAAATCAGTTTCATTTTCAGTGTAGGCAGTAGTGCGAACCCGTTTTAACCCTGGCAGTTTGGAAGGTTGTAGTTCAACTGGCAGTTTCAATCACGTCAACTAAACCAACTGGTTGAGAATGAAGATATACTAAGCTAAACAGGTTGTCAAACTGGCAGTTCAATAGATAAACTGCCAGATTCCCAGTGCTAATCAGTTGTACCTATAAATGCTTCAAAATGTTTACCAAAATTCCCTTTTTACACTTCTTCAAATTGAAATATGACTCATATTTAATTTGACAAGTAAAACGATAAGCCTTTAGTGTTTCAATCTATGAATAATGAACTATCGAGATTCTAAATTGATTGGAATGTTTAAGAACATAGAATTTCATATGATTTCAGTCAGTCTTCTCACTTCTGCAAAACAAGATATGATCCATTCATGAATGAAGTATTGTATATGCATTATTTGTATTCTACTCATCGTTGTATATATTCTACAAATACATCCGTGAAGACACGACACTGGCTACTTTAGCACTGTTCTGACACTGCCATGTGATTTAACTCGTCTTCCCTCGATCCATGGTGAAAGCTGAAACTCGTCTTGAAAGATCCGCACGAGTCATGTTTGGAAGGAACTATGGTATCGAGTTCCCCCTCCTTTTCCTTCCCTTTCACTTGCTGACCATCCAGTCTGAACAGCCAATATACACCGCAAAGGGTAAAAAGATAAAAAACCCAGAAAGAATGGAGAAGGAACACGTATAGACTGCCGATTTTCGTGGAGATGTGATCGGTTGAATCTCCTGTGATGGTCTTTGTGGCGAGTATTGTGAGATATGTTAGGCAAGCGGCGGGGATGAGGAAGATAGCGACAAGAATCTGATGGGTAATAGAAGCATTAGTTTGCTTTCTTTGTTTTTATGTTTTTGGATAAATGTGGTGGGTTGAAATACGTACACCGCAAGCCATCACTAGTTTCTCATGTAATTTGGTGCCCGTTTTAAGGAAGTGGCGCCACAATAGGTACAAAAGGAGAATGACCCCATGGATACTGATGTAGTACCAAGCGACGACGAAAGATGTCAAGGCGTGAAAATGTCTGAAAAGACCGAGGAGGTCATCGTCCGGCTTGGGGAGCTTGTCTTTCGAGAGAACATAGCCGAGAGCTAGGGAGTTACGAGGTTAGATTTATCAGATTGCATGATGTGGAGGTATGAAACTGAGAAGAAGAAGGCGAGAGGATATATAATCTTACGGTTAAGGTCCACATGACATCCGTTCCCATCTTTCCCATATTCATCATCCACCCCGCCAGAAACACAATATCGGAAGAGATAAATTTTATATGTAGAATTCGAGATGTGGATGTCAAGGAGAGAACTATGAGAACCTGGGAAATGACAGAATAGAGCCACAATGAGGAGTGTAATGACTAGTAGAGAGGTTCCGCTGGTAACCAAGAGACTGTTGGAATATCTACGGGAAGGCCCGCTTGAGTGTGCTTGGAATCTATGCCACCAGTTGAAGTTGAGGTTTGGTTTAAACATGGTGGTGCTTGGGTGTTGGGTTTTGGGTGTTAATTTGGGGTTACTGATGGGTTGTGATTCGTGGATTGTTGAGGACTTGGAAAAAAGTAAAGGGTAGGGTATTGAAAAGAAAGGAGTGAAGTAAAAACTTATTGAAGGTTTTCAAGAACTAACTAACAGTGAGGATCATGAATCATGAAAGGTACGGCTTGTATCTGACTCGGAAGAGTCATCCTGGATATAGGAGTTCAACTAAATAGTAAGGCAAGAAAAGTTATGACTTGTATTTGGCATGTCTCTGACTCGAAAGAGTCATCCTAGATATAGGAAATTAACCAAAAGTAAGAAAAGTATCATGTATGCAAATAAGCAGTTCTAAACCCCCCACTCCCTCATTCTTCTTCTTTCTTCTGCCCTTAACTGTGCTGCCATTGACCTTTTATATCGCATCTCAATATGCTTGCGATATCTCCTCTCTTGAATATGATCTAGCGTAGTGTAGCCCCAAAAGCCATGGATGGGAGTATCCCACTCATCGTCGCTATCATCATGATTGGACTCGACCTCCGCGGGAGTATTGCATACTTTTGTTTCACCTTCCATAGGAGGTGTCTCAACTACCGGTACCGTAGTTTCCATCTCGCGACGAAGAGCAAGACGAGCTTGACGAGCACGACGTCGCTTAATGCAGCTTCTAGTGGCTATGATGAGAATGTTGAGAAAGAGGACGACCCAGAAGAGATGGATGATGAGGAGGTAAAGGGAACCGGATTCGATGGTTATGGTTAGGTTGGATGTGGAGAGATTGATGGATTGGGTGAGGATGTCGATTGTGCGGATGCAGAGATAGGTTTGGAGTGTTGCAAGGGCAGCAAAAGAGGCGGTGAAGGTCTGGAGTGAGGGTAGTCAGTGGTTTGTGTGGGTTGGGTAAATGTGAATTTGGAGAGAGATAGATGATGAGCTGGAATATGAGAAGATACAGAGAACTTACTGAAAGAATGAGCATAAACGTTTTCTTATGAGGTGTACCGGTCGCACCAAACCACCAGATGAATAAACCAGCAAAAAGGAGCAAGAGAAAAACTGCGACTATGTATGAGGCAAAAGACGGATATGCGTATTGCTGAAAGAGATCAGCTAGCTCCTGGACGGGACCGGAGACATCGGGTCTAGGAAGAGGAGGTATAAAAGTAGAGTTGAGGATAGGGAGGATGTGTTCGGTCAATGCTATGTAATGGGGGAGAGCATTAGTTATATGATTGGCATGGGAAAGAAAGGTGGAAAGATTGTACCTTGCTTTGCTTGATGACAGCTATCCGTTACATTCGTATACTGTCCAGCTTCAGCAGCGACACCTGAAACACAATAATACCACAGATATATCTTATAGGTAAAATTATCCCCACCTCCATCTGTTGCATTCAAACTTCCACTAGTCTTGCCAGGAACACTTGAAGTAGTGGTGAGTGTAAGGAATGGAAGTGCTCCTTGGTGATAGCACGCAATAACGAGGCCCGGAATCATGGCGAGAATGGTGAGAGTGAAGGTGCTGAGAGAGACGACATATGCAACGTAGTTTCTTGCTTCGTGCCGTAATCGACACATCCATCCTTGTGGGACGACCTCGACTTTGGCTTCCTCCATGGGATTGACGCTGTCTTTGGGTTCGGCACTGTCTTTGGGTTCGACGCTTTCTTTGGGTTCAACGCTTTCTTTAGGCTCGACGCTTTCTTTCGAATTGACGATGTTTACTGGAGTGCTGGATACATCTTTGGGCGGATTTAGACTGTCCCTTTCGAATTGCTGCCGCGCTTGATGATAGAATTGGCTATGGAATTTCTCGGCTTGTTTGAGACCTTCCTGGGCTTCTTTGATGCTGTCGAGAACTTTGGCATAGTTAACCATGATGCAAGCTCCTATATTTGTCTATTTGTCTATCTGTTCGGAACTGCTTGGTGGGGATGAAAGAGAACTGTCAAGTATAAGAGAGGATTGCAGAGTATTGAGAACAGATAATGATGCAAAGCGTGAATACTCCATGTTTTGATCGTATTGTACGAAATCATTTTAAAATCCGAAATATCCCGAACTGGGAGATTACACACTTGATTTATTCACTTTCTAGTATCTGCTAGATGGTGATTCAGAATGTGTGCGGCAGTGGTAGTATGTGCATGTTTTGGTAGATTAGAGCGAAGAGGGATTTCGATATCAGCAGGAGTGGTTTGGAAGAGTGTGACCTCTTTCGCAATGATGTGATATAATATGCAGTGAATGAATCGAATTTGATGGAGATATAAGGCAACCGTCAGTATGGTGAATAGTCCTCAGCTTTGTACTTATATATGATATTGACTTGTCGTCTTTATATCATGCTACTCGATTGGACGATATGTAGATACCAAGTCAGCATGCACATAGTGTAGAAGCCCAGACTGAGTCATTGTATAGAGATATAAAAGTGTTTCAACTAACGTTGATGTAAGCAATTAGTCTGAAAACATCAAAAAACTGTTTTCTTAGGCAGTGGAGAGATGAGGATGTTGGCAAGGGGAGGTTGTTGATGATTGTCGGCTCGATGGGTCAACGCATGGACTTGAACCTATTTGGTGTCTAGATTTTTCCATTCAAGTTTCTCACATCTCTCCATCTCATCTCCAAAGATCGGTCAACATCTTCAATTTATTACCATGATCAATACAATGATAATTCATCACTTCGAATTTTATAAGTAGTTCATTGTACAATGATGTTATGAGCAGCTAAATCTTCATTTATCATCTCTTCTTAATTATCCCAGCTTTTGTCTTTGACTCAGTGAATGCAGTACCTGGCTACAAGAGTCATGAGACAGTGTTGGCTTGGACCATATGCTATTCCATGAAGAGGCAATTTCCTCTTCGATTACTTTCTATTGCTCAAAGAGCATCAACTAACTCCAAAAAGTTTCAGTATGATGAGGACGTACCTCCTTGCTCTCGATCTAGGCGAGCGGGAACAAATGGTGTTGAAAGTTGAAACCGAGTGAACCTATCAAATAGAAGTTCCGGGAAGAATCTTATTCTATGTTTACTGACTTCACCATCGCTAAGCCTCGATATTGTTATAAGATATCTAGAACATCGATTAGCGGAACTTGAAAGCACTGATGGTTATTGATTGCGGTCGGAGTATATAGGAGCTAATGCTCATTCTATGAGAGATTAGGTGGGCTACATAACAGAGGATTAGTATCAACACGACTTGCTATGCAAGAGGTTGGCACTGCCTTCAGGTCTTCGTCCAAAGTAAGATGTTTACGCAACGATCCTAGACTGCGCTATCAGGCCAATCTATTTTATACCTGTGAGCATCGAGAAAGAACTGCAGTGCCACTTTGACCTATTCTACTTTCGTAAGCCTGGAGATAGCCATGGGTCATCTAAGATAACCAAGTTTTTGGTGCTGATGAACCTAATCATCAGTTCTTCCACTCCAAAAGGTTTGCCCTGTATAATATGTTGTACCCTGAGGGTAGATAGGCTCAGGCTAGAAAGTCTCACAGACATGAAAATAAAGAGGAGGAATCATATGACGAGAAAGTAAAAGATTAGGCCAGTAAATCTCAGCTTGTGGCGGTTATGGAATATATGTCGCTGCATATTTAATTATAACAATGCTTATGCGTGAGGTACTTTGGGTGTAAGATTGGCAATGCAAGAGATGTGCTGTCGGACGTATTTCGAATGTTGAAGGAGTGGAGGAATTCCCGATGTACGAATTGACTTTGTAGAAAGTCATATTTATGTCTCCATGGGTGGTGGGTCATAAATATCATGATTTCTTGTACACGAAGTCACTTATACAGCAACAGACTCACACTGATGAACTGAACATGTGATTTTCATGAGCTATAAATGGATCGACTTTCGAGCCACTGATCTCAAGCTGTAGAGAACACTTATTATAAATGTATATTGGGCGATCAAAACTCAATAACCCAAAATCGACAATTGAATTTTGGAGTCATTGTGGGGCAGAATGAGATAGTTACGATACATTACAAAAGAAATCTGCTGAAAGATAATTCAACGCGTAAACAGAACTTCATCAATATATGGCCGAACAAAAACACCAGTAGTGAGTCTATCGTAGAGTATAATAAACAGAGAACTCTCAGGTGTATTGAAGCTCTCATAGACAACCGCGAACTTGCGGATACCCCAGAATTAGTGAGGTATCCAGCAATTTAATGCTAACTGTAGAATCTCCTAAACGATCCCAAAAGATACAGAAAATCAAATGCCGGGCAGATCTTAGTCAACGGCAACTGATTGATGTCAAGGCATACACCGGCTTAGACCAAGAGAGGACCGAATGATTCTTCAAATTGATCTCTTCTTGTATCCATTCCTGAGCAGTTTTGAGTACGAATGCAAGTTCGTACGTATGGATAAATGGTATCTCGTCATATCATCCTCTCTTGGGCTCCTAGACTAGATCTGCCCCCAATACCTGCGCAAGGGACAAAAATATAGTTGGCGATGTGATGTTGCTGCTGGGTCGGCAAGGGTCGATGGAGCTTGATGTACAAGCTGGGATGGTTTTGAACGATCACCGTGACGCTTGATGGGTGATGTGACGAGGATTCAAAAGAGGATGTTGCGGTCGGCTTCTTATGCTCTGGGACAGGGGAAGTGGGTTTATGCTGCAAAATGATTCGTTTTGAATGGTCTCAGCCCTGAATTGGGGTCTGAAATCTGTGTTCGTCCTTCACTAAAAGAATGGCGACTACAATATAATATCATCTGCAATTAATGTTTGTACAACTATTCCCTCAGTAACGGACTTAACTCATGCCATCTTGTCTCAGCCAACTTCAGAATATGCTTCATCTCATCCTTTCCCACAGTAGTTCCACCAACTTTTGACAACCCCATTATTTTTGGCTTGCCTGCTTCACAATCGACGACTATCGTGATAGACTCATCACATAATCCCTCCTCAAATGTGTCCGGATCCGCCAAAACCCAGAATCTCTTATCCTTCCCCCGCTTCTGATCCTTTGCCCTGAATACCAAAGATGTGGCAGCAACTGGCAGTCCCCTCAACGTGAGTTTCTTCGATAATGATACCTGATCGTCGCAAAGTATCATCTCCCGATCTGCATCCCAATGTGCCTTCGGTAACCTCACATTCCTCAAAGCGGACACAACAGCGGCCCAAGCAGCATCAAAAGGGTTTCCATCAAGTGAAATGAACAAAATATCAATATATAAAGTCCAAAACGCCTTCAATTCAGGTTCAACGCTCTCTGTTTCTTCATCGTCGTCCATTCTATCCTGTTCGCTCAAATCTGGTGGTTGATACCAAATCCTCAAATCCTCATCATCGACCATGCGTGAGCTGTGCAATAATGAATATATCCTTGTGCTTAGACTTTGCGCCAATGTAGACGGTGGTTGACCAGGTAAGAACGCAGGCGAGCATCCTGTAGCTAGTTCAATATTTGGAACCAGCAAATCCAATTCTTTTGCTTCATTGTAACCCAGTCGCGACGAGGGAGCGGTGGTGGATTTATCGACTCGGTAGGTTCCAACATTGCTGGCAAGCAGGATTTCACCTCGAACTCCGCAGACAACGGCGGTATCACCTATGCGTACGACTGCGCTACCTTCAGCATGCGTGAGTGAGCCGGTATTGATGTGTGGGGCGCGAGATTGGGTTGGCGATCGACCGTTTGCGCGTTTGGATGAACTGGTTGGAGAACTTGGCTGAAGATGTGCGAGGAGGTAAGGGTGAGGAGAGAGCTTTGCGAATGTCTCACGAGGAAACGAAAGTGTGGGTTGAGCTGCGGATGTCATTGTTAAAGGTTGTACTATTTCACTGCTTGTATTGATTATCACGAGGCGGAACTATCAAATGAATGTCGTCGGCTGAACTTTTTTTCAATTTCGGAGCTAGATATGTTAGTTGCGGGTGTAGCCGAGTGATATCAGCCAATCAAACAAATCCTAAAAGCTAGGCTGAAAATATGGACCAGCGAGGCTGAAGAATCTTCAAATCTTCAGTGCTGACCTACGGCTTAGTGGAATATGTACCGATAACTAGCGATATAATATTGGCGACTTCTGAAGTTCGTATAGAGAGATTTTGAGAGAAGCATATGTCTCAACTGGAGGGTCGAATGGGGGATCAAGGACTCGAAGATCAATACCTAAGTAGATGAACATGTGGGCTGCAAATCCGAATCTTGTTGGAGTACGACCAAAGTCTCTTAGCATCACAATTTTGGTTACCTGACTTTGGTAAAAAATTGACTGTCGTCACATCAAATGCCGATCATGTTAGTCTAGAGGTGCTGCTGATATAAGCGCTTCCGTCTTCTCTCAATGGTATTGGACGGGTGGGTACCGGTATCTCATTTCAAGATCTAGCCATCTGGAACTATAGGAAGTTAGTTTATCGAAATGCCCCATTGGAACGAGTCAAATGTTATGTTATGTAAGTCTGGCCAAAATTGGACATCCATTTGTTATCACTGTGATAACGATAATGTGACGAATTTCTAGGAGAAGCGTTAATGAATCGTGATTCGCAAGCTTGTGAGGGGATCCAACATGTTATATCTTAAGGGATGTCATCAACGATTAGTTGTCGATTTTAGGAGTTCTTGGAGATGATAATTGGGCAACGGCAAATAATTTCTCGATCAGCAAGCGAGTTATCCGGCATATAGTTATACATAATGTACAGATGCGACCTGAATTATGCCTGAACGACGCCGGGGATATTGCAGCTTGCAGCTTGCAGGGCCCCTATCAGCAGCTAAGGGATAAGCGAGGCAATCAACGTGCGTGTGTTAGCGCTCAATATGTACTGCAACCTTCAAAAACCTGACATACGGACAATGATTGGTTGATACCACGAGAGAATCATCACAAATTGCAAAATTGCACAATGGCGGGGGGGCACGTTTTTCTATGTCTCATTAGAGAAAGCCATTCTTGACGTTTGACTGGCCAATTCCTTTCGGGCCATAGGAAAAAATCTTGATCATGACTTTGTGTTCAACAATGCTCCATTCAGCATGTGCCCTCGGCCATGCATGCTCCTCACACCCCTTCATTGTTGTTCATTGCGTTCACTATCGCAGAGATGGTACTGTATGAACCCCTTTTCCTCCTAATCTCGTTGGGCTTGAACCAACATTTCAATCAGTCATATAGAATAACACAATCTGATGAAGGGTGTGAAGGATATTGATGTGTCTTCATCCGAGTACGTACCGGTACCGTTTGTTATTAACTTATTCACGCACGTCCTTAACTTTCTACTTTCTGTACTGTACCGGTATATCATTTGTTAGGCGGGAATCACTTGCATGCATATGGTATTCGATAACGGAAATCACGGCATCTCCATCCGCTTTGGGGGCCAAATCCTCGATTCGTGGCTGTCATCCTAGGGGTGACGCGACCAATACCATTGGAGAACAAACCGCAACTTTTGCCAACAAGTACCAACGACATCAACTACGTATCTTTCAATTTCACATTACCCCATCAATTTCACAGAAAGTTGAAGTCCTTGCCTTGTATTTTCTAATCCTTTTTGCTTCTGGACGTCTTTCAAGTTTCAGTCCCGGGTATGCGCATATCGAGGTGATCGGATGCAATAAATCAGTGGTTGCAGGTAACGAGGTGACGGATTCAATCCACCTGCAGGAACATTGTTCATCTTGGCATACTAATCATCGGGCATTCCCCACACCGATATTCTTGTAATATATCCATATGTTATACCCTCCAGGATTTTTATCCGGGAGAGCTACTGCCGTATAAACTTGTCGTGCCTCGCTTTGGTCGAATTCTCTGTTAACGTATTATCATCATTATCGCTCGCTCAAGACTCTTGCGTCGATTGAGGGATCTGGAATTCCTCTTCAGATCGCAGACTCGACACTCAATATCGGAAAGCTCGAGAGCTTTACGGCAACGAATTGCGTACCACTTCGATTTTGAAAGACTCGATGGTCATGATATATAATAAAGATATCCAATCGGGGTCTCAGCCACTTTAAACCTAGTCCTCCGAGTCCTTTAGGTATACTCTGCTCGGCCGAGTGTTAGTTGACGACGTTTATCGAACTGAAGAACGGTTGTTTCGAGAAAGCAGAACATCTTGAACCTCGACTATTTTTGGAGATCTAATTTACCTCCGGATCCACAATGGTTGGCTCTACATCAGTAGAGTTGTCTGTCGTGGGGGCTGCGTCTCAGACTGTTAAGGATTTGGCAAAACGGATTTACATCCCCCTCACGGCCACTAGTCCTGCTGGCTTGGTCGCAGCTGATACTCTGGACCCATGGAATAAAGCTGGAAAATATGCTTTGGCATGGACGTACTTCCCACTTATTTTGGTTTGTCTAGTCGCAATAACTAGAGCATATCATCTATGGACCGACAAGCTGCGTCAAGCGTACCACAAACACGAAGTCGAGAAACAATTAATACGCTACTATCAACAGCAGCAAGATGAATATACTATGTCGAATACTCATACTGGAGAATCAGAACAGCAATTTCTCCCGGCAACAACCATTGATGAGAAACCATATATTGCCGTTACAAAAGGGTCACATTGGTCATCAATATCATTGGTAAATGATACATTGGCATTGTTTAGATGGGTGTTCTATCGTCCAATCCCAGAGCTCCGATACAAGAAAAGACTCATCACCGCATTCCCATCTCTGACTGTCTTTGCCTTACTAATAATTGGTCTGATTTTTGTCTCGCTCCAGTGTTTCTTGCCCCAACCGCTCTACTGGGAAAGCATCCAATATGGATCTCCTCCACTAGCTATCAGGGCAGGAATGATGTCTGTGGCGATGACCCCATGGTTGATTGTCACAGCTATGAAGTCCAATTTAATCTCATGGATAACTGGCATAGGCCATGATCGACTAGGCGTTTTTCATCGATGGGGAGGCTATTTATGTCTCTTCCTGGCTCTTGTGCACACAATCCCCTTCTATATACAGCCTGTATGGGATGATGGAGGAATGACAGTTTTCGGCAAAATTTTCCCAGCAAGCCGTGGCATTATCTATGGAACTGGAATTGCTTGCTTGGCACCACTTGGATGGCTCGTTATTGGGTCCTTACCAATCGTTCGAAGACTTGCATATGAACTATTCGTAGTTCTTCATATCCCAGCAGCGGTAGTGTATGTGGCCATGTTGTTCTGGCACACCAATAATTACCTTACCTCCTGGAGCTACCTCTACGCAACCGTTGCCATCTGGGCTTTAGCTTATCTCACACGAGTTGGTAATTTGAACTGGACAAAGCCATGGAAGAGCTCTTTCTTGATTGGTGACGAAGCTGCTATCACATTGATGGCAGAAAACGCAATCAAGGTAACCGTTCCGACACAGATGAAGTGGAGACCCGGTCAGTATGTCTATCTTCGTATGCCTGGTATCTCAGTGTTCGAAAATCACCCCTTCACCATTTCTTCTCTTTGCAGCGAGGACTTTCCGTCCGAGTATGGCGAGCAATACAGAGATTGTACTATGGTGTTTAGACCATTTGGAGGATTTACCAAGAAGGTCCTCGAGACTGCGACTCACAACGGTCCCTTCAAAACATACCGAGCTTATTTGGATGGGCCATATGGCGGTATGCAACGAGAGCTTGCTGCTTTTGACACCGTCATTCTTTTCGCGGGTGGAAGTGGTATCACAGCAATTGTTTCACAGCTACTAAATCTCATCAAAAGAATGAGGGATGGGAAAGCAGTCACTCAGAAGATTGAAGTGGTATGGGCATTGAAAAGACTCGAATCTATGGATTGGTTCAGGGAAGAGCTTAGGATCTGCAGAGAATTCGCACCGCCAGACACTATTACGTGCCAATTCTTTGTGACGTCAGCAAAGAGATACTCGAAGATAGATGTTGCCGGACGGGCCCAAAGACCGTTAAGCACTGCGTTTCATGATAAGTTGGACGGTTTTGTGGCAGGCATTGCTTCCAAACGAAACTCGGCTCTTATCCATGATGAAGCCCAAGGCAATGAAGAGAGAGAAAGAGAATTGAGAAGGGAGGATGAGGATGCTATAACATCATTGCCACATTCGAAACATTTACAGCCAAGAGTATACCCCAATGTACAAACTTCATTTCCCCCACCACCCACGACAGAGTCAAAGTCAAAGAACTCCGAAAAGAGACGTTCTCTGTTGGCAACACTATCCCCAGATTCCCACGAGACCACTCGAAAATTCTTGTCGCCTCTAGGCTTGGCTACCAAACCACAAACCGATTCCAAAGAATCATTTCACTTCCCGGCACCTCCACAAAAGCTAGATGCTCCTCAGTTCCAATACGCTCCGCCCTCGACCAATCCTAATCGAGCTAGCTTTATTCCCGATACAGCACGTAACAGCTATAATCCTCAGGATCATATTGATGACCCAGCAGCAGAAGCTTATAATCCTGACATAAAATACTCCGAGGAAGGGCAGCTCTCAGAGCATTTCGCAAATCGAGATTGCGCACCCACGCCTCCAGCAAAGGACACACCGAAGATGACAAGTGAAATAGAGACCATGCCTTCCCTAAAGCCCCCACAACTCGCTCATCTGCGGCAAAAGTCCGAGGAACTAAAGCTCGAAATTCCACAGTCAAACTCTCAACACGGCGTCCGGGATCCAACCTTTGACTTTGGCTTTCCATCAACGCCTACCTTGTTTCAAAAGAATCTCATGCGTTTTGCGTTTGTTGCGCCCAAGAAGAAGGAGGGTTGGACTACTGAATATGGTCGTCCTGATCTAGGATACATGTTGAAGGAGATGGCTACTGGAGGACCTGACGGACATGGAATCTTCGGAAGGAGGACGTGCGTCTTCGTTTGCGGTCCGCCCGAAATGCGTATCAATGTAGCAACTACCGTGGCGAAGCTCCAAGCCGATATTTGGGGCGATGACAGTAAAGACGAGATCTTCTTACATACAGAGAATTATGCTATCTAATTGGGTTTAATTCGTGGGTGAGCATGTATGCATGGATTGGGCGATCAAAGAATCAGTATATTATACTTTACGGCTGGCGGCGGCGTTTGGGTTAATGGGGAGTGGATCAGTACCCCAAAATGTTTTATACCAGGGCGACAGGGCGGGGGGTTTTTAAGTATATCCCCATTGAGAGTGTACACTCAACTATTTTGATTGTAATGTAATCTATCACAGGCTTGTTATTAGTCGGTACTGTTCATAAACACACTTAATAATCACAAACACATTCTTGAATTAAAAATTGAACATTGAGTGATACACAAGAACTACCTAGCTGCAGTATGTATCTGCGTCAAGATTGAAGCGGACATGCAGTACGAGGCCACTTTGGCGGTCGACCGTTGTACCTGAACCTCCGAGACAGGACTTAACACCACAAATAGATAAAACGCTTAAGCTATATATCCATGTCGACCACGAACCGGCACAGCCTTTGTATTCCATAAGGTTCCGAACCACGTCAACGTGTCTCGTTGCACTGCGAATCGATAAACCTGCAGCATCTATATCGGCAATTCGAGAACCCGTAACATCGGCTTTCATACTCGAATTCGGATCGAACGTTCACCCCTTCGCATGCCTGCTAATACCTTCGGTACGGAAACATGTCCCCGTCTATTGAAGATATTACATCTGCCATTTGATATGTAGCAACCATTACGAACCGCTTCCTTCAGAACAAAGTTTCCAGAGCAGTAGATACAGGTGGCTGAATTAGTCTTTCGTCCAACGAGAAAGATCTACTGAAAGACCTTCCGTACGACCGCATCCCCATGAAGAATGCGAAGATTTGAATTGTGTCGGACGACTGGTGAAGGAAAGAAAAAATAGTTTCGCGAGAATTTCATGATAAGCTCAGGTACTTAGACGCTAAACCGTGTCAGGCTAAGACTATATATTAGCGACAAAGCTAGTAAGATCAAGGGTGATCCACCAAGCTTCAATATAAATTGCACAAAATTTTCGTAATTGAAGAAAAATGGAATCCCTGACCCAAACGCAATGGGATTTGGTGATTGAAGGTACTGGATTGAAGCATTCATTGCTTGCCTTGTAAGTTCATCTTTTCTGACTATACCGGCGTGGAGGAGTTGGTGTCAGAAGGTGGGGAAATTTGAAGAAGAAAACTAACTAACATAATAGTATGAAGAGCCCTCTCGCGTTCAAATAAGAACATATTACACGTGGATGGTAACGAATATTATGGAGAAGATGAAGCAGCCTTTAGTCTGCAAGAAACAGACGCGTGGGTGAAGCGGACGCATTCGCAGAGCAGTATGTTTACCACACCTATCAATTACAAGCAAAACTAACAAATAATCACAGCAAGCTTCAGCAATGCCTCCGCAACATACAATCCTATTCTCAGGGAGAAGTTAAGCTTCTCGAGAGCATACAATCTTACCCTTTCACCACAAATAATATACACGCGATCACCACTCCTCTCCACCCTCGTATCTTCGAAAGTCTACAAACAACTCGAATTCCAAGCTGTCGGTGGTTGGTTCTTATATGACGATGCAGCACTGAAACGTCTGCCATCAGGTCGAGAAGATATCTTTCAAGATAACAGTATCGATAATCGCGCCAAGCGATCGCTGATGAAATTCTTGAAATTTGTCGTGGATTATGAGAATCAAGTTGACGTCTGGCAACACAAGTCTGAGATGGGATTGTCGCAATTTCTCCAGGACGATTTCAAACTTCCTCGGGATTTGCAGACACTCATTGGAGCTTTGACACTGTCATTCGATACACTTGAGATTACAAAGGTGGGGTATGCGCTACCGAGAATCCAAAGACATCTGACGTCAAGTGGCGTCTTTGGACCTGGATTTGGAGCTGTCGTACCTAAATGGGGTGGTGGTGCTGAAATTGCTCAAGTCGCGTGTAGAGCTGGTGCAGTGGGTGGTGGGGTGTATGTTCTGGGAACTGGCATCCGAAATGTCAAAAGATTTGAAGATGGAGGTGCCACTACACATCATGAAGTCGAGCTATCGAACAATGAGAAGGTGAAAACCAAAATGATGTCTCGAGTCAACAACGACGCGCCTCCCGTTTCAATACGGGTTGCCAAAACTATGGCCATCGTGTCGTCGCCTTTGGGATCAATCTTCACTAGTACAGTGGAAGGTTCTCCCACCTCTGCCGTATCTGTGGTTGTTTTTTCAGCGAAAATGATATCGGCGTCTGATTATGTCCAAGATTATCCAGTATATATCATGGCTCACTCCAGCGAGACAGGTGAATGTCCTGCAGGTCAATGTTAGTATTACTCTTTCTCTTGTCTACTCACGAACGCATTATATGATGAACAAACTGGAATACTTATCTACATTGTCTGAACTTTATTGAAGATAATACCTACAACAGTCTGATAATGCTCCTTCATTCTCAATCTATTTGACCTTACTTTTTGTGGAAACAAATAGCTAACGATAGATCTCAGGTATCCTTTACACTACCACCCTCCTTTCCGAATCTTCGACACCGCAGACTGGGAAATTCCTTCTAGATGAAGTCATTTCGAAGTTTCTCGATACGGCAGAGGGTGATGGCGGACAAGTGCTTTACAGCGCATATTATGAGCAACAAGGGAGCAAGGAGCAACTAGATCTCGCCTTCAATGATCAAGTTTTGAGGGATGTCGAGGAGGAGTGGAAGAGGGTTTCTGGTGGAGATGAAGAAACTTCATTCATGATATTCGAGGAACGGAACGGAATGGGTGATGATGACGAGAGCGGAGAATATTGATGAGTCTATCAAGGACCCAGGAGTTGAGGTGCCATGTCATTACTTTGGAAACTCATGAAGCGCTTGCACCCTACGTTTACGAATATGATATCATAACTTTCCCATACTATATTCTATATTTGCGCTGATGTTTTGTTCCTGTCATATATTGATGTCGTGCTTTCTCATTTTAACTACTCGACTAGATGATATTTTGGTTATTAGCTCGTGGTGTCTAAGGTTCTAGCTTTCCGATCTTAATTCACCAATTTGCATTTGTTTGTGACCCCTGCACTGCATAGTAGTTTCCCCATGTCTTCTTGTCAAAAAATTTCAGCACATGTTTATCCCAACCTCTCGACTCTTTTTCTACTCTCCCTCTCCGTCTATCTAGTTTATATGACGCAGACGAGATTTCCGATTCATAGAAATAACAATCAAATATCATGCTGCGTGACGTATTCCTACCCAAATCTCCCATCTAAAACACGATTCTTCGGCTCTGCGGTGCATGTATGTTATGCCATACTTATAATTACCTTCTCTTCTCTCCTCTCCCATTTAACAAATTATGCACTGGTCTTCTGAACCAGGAGTGAGTGTGTTTTCCACGACTGACTCGACCGACTCGATCGCCGTTTATGGGATACATACATGTGCCACTTTTATGGCCTAGCGAGTAAGTCTGCAATCGGATATCGTGTTGTGTCGTATTGTGAGTATATCGAATAACTAATTGCGAGAGCATCAACTTACTACATTAACTATACCCGCAGCGTCTCTTTTTCTTTTTTTGGAATCTCCGCTTCAAGTAACAATGAATATGCGTAAAGTGACCGAGTCACCGAGTTCAGTCGGGACGTGTTGTAATAAAAGAGCTACTAGGTAGGTATGGATGTTATGACATCTCATCATACGGTCTAGATAGCACATACCGGTATCCAAGTTCCAAGTCCCCCAAACACTCACCTCTCAATACCCACATTCTCACTTCATCACTACTCAAGTAGATTACCTATTTAGCTATATCCCACAAATTGTGCATATCCTTCACATACGACCATAGACTGAAGAGAATTGGGCATCCCGTCCGCTCTGCCATACACAAGCTTCAGATCGGTGGATTAGTAGTTGGGTGGGTGACCACCAGCGAATCCCCACTGTTGTATGTTGAGTTCATTTTTTTGCTGTTTTTGTCATCATCTTTTCCCCGTTTCCCCGTTACCCTTTTGCCTCGTTTCCTTTTTGTTACATTGATAAAGTAGACAGGAAGGAAGGAAGGAGAATGAATACTGATAAGCAGAAGACCAGATGACTAGGTAGATAAGCGACCAAATAAGTTATATGAAATGAATTTCGGTGAGTGAATGGAAAGGAAAGGGCATGGATTGTATATCAGTTGATAGATGATATAATGGAGAATAAGCTTTTTCGTAGCACTGCACTCAGTACCTAGGTGGTAGGTAGTTTGTAACAAAAATCCTGGAACATCTATCAAATATCAATCCAAAGTTCAAACAACCCCCTCAAGAAACGTAGGTTTTCGCTCAAACTCCACTTAGAAATCTAGGTACAGAGCACAGTACAATTAAAATCAAGACTTTGTCCTGCCTAACATACTACTCAGCCTCGATCTTGCTTTTCCCGTCCCATCCCCACCAGAGTAAAGTCAAAAGATTATATATAGCGTAGAAAGTGATTTCAACTCTCTTTCTCTTCTTCATCGGGAAGTTGTTTTATACCGTACTCCAAGTTGTGCTGATGGCTAGTAAGATACCTACCTACATTGCGGAGGATCCCCCCTTCCCCTTTCCCCTTTCATTTTCGGTAGATATATGATAGGGGGTGAGGTCGAAGCGGTTTTTGACTACTTAGAACGTAGGTAGCTTCTCGATTCTCGATCACATACCTAGTACTTAACTTCATCGGCAAACATAACCTAACCTCTGATCTGAACGCAGAAACGCAGGTTTTATACAGTAATTCACCAGTTCTAGTTACCCAAGTAGACAGAGTAGATTTCCTCCTTGGTTGATTAGGCGAGTACTTTACTCGTATATGAAACAATGTATATATGTATATATATATATGAGAGCGACCGATAACTAGAAAAATGTCTGAATGCCATAACGACATATCGCCCGCCGTCTACAGTGAGTCCTAGACTCCTAGCTCGAGGTCATTTCCAATACCTCAATTCCAATCATGTATTTCGATCGTGTAGCTCCGAATGAAAGTATTGTCCGTGTCACACTGAGCACTGAGCAAGGATAGGTGGAAAGAAACGTGAATGAGAAATAGGAGACAAAAGCTCCAATTAGGTAACGCACTAATTACTGGACTTTTCTTTCCAGCAAAATCGTTTCATTTGTTTGCTTTGTAGCAAGGTTTTCAATATAACAGGCATTTTCAGAACAATAACTCACTCGCCTGCTCCACCTCAGATTTGTGAAAATGAAACTCTCGAAACTTCTGAATTCAAGATCTGATGACTTTCCCCTACACCGGACAATGGGTATTTGGCGCTATTCACAAATGAAATAATCTCAAAAATCAAAGAATCCAAATCAAACGCCGGCCGCGAGGCTATCCCTTCTCCAGCCGTGAGGCAAATATTCTCTTCTCCGTGTCCAAGCTTGGGTTCTCCACTGATTTCCCATGTTTTAGTCAATGCAACCTGATCCAGACCTCTCACCCTCCGCTTCCATTAAATTATCATTCGGTCCAGTATAAAATGATCCCAATACCAAAGTTTTTTGTTCTTTTCTGTTCTTCCAGCCAAAGAGACCGCGCACCCGGCAGTTTCATCTTCGATGCCTTCTCGAACTACCAGAGCTCTCTTGATGAACCCTATGACTGTGCCTTCCCCCACTCGAATGCCCGCTAGCGCTCCTCTCCACAGCTTGTTCCATTTCCTCAACCCTTTGTCTATAGCCCCTCACAATATCCCTAATATGCCGTATGCGATCGAAATCCAATTCCAGCTCATCGATCTGCCTGAGTATATCGTGGAACCGTGCGATCTCCGCGTCCGCCATAGCAATCGCATTCCCCGCATTATCGTATTGTTGCTGTGCCACGATAGCAGATTGCTCGGATAGATAGTCAAGCCTCGCACCGATTTGTGATATGAGATGATCGAAGTGACGCCCAAGAGCCGCAAGTGAGGTAGTATCGAGGAGTAGAAGACCTTGAGACGAGGCTCGCGAGGCTGCGCGAGAAGAGCCTGAGCCAGCGGTTGCAGCAGCTTGGGCTTGATGATGTCGGAGAAGAGTAACTTCGTCAGCTGTTAGGCCGAGCTGAGTATCGGGGACAGATGGGGTTGGTGAGGCCATTGATTTTAAACCTCTTAGGGGCTTGATGGATTTTGGATGATGCCAAGCGATAGCAGAAGTGTGCTATTTGATTCTGACACCCTCACAGAAAACTGTGAAGGTGCTGTAAACTTCATGGTAGTTGTGATTGAGGTAAGGTCATTTCTCAGGAGTCCTTTCCCCTTTAGCTTTGTGATAGTAGAAGTTCAAAGTTTGGTTCCGTGAGAGCTTTGACGAAGACAGACAGAGACAAAGTATTGATACAAAGTATTGTAGGATCCACAATCGATTTCGGTATTCCTGAAGCTTTTCTTTTTATATATGAGTGAATAGATCAGCTGAGAAAGATAGGTAAGCCTCTTTTCTTTTCTTTACTTATTCCCTTCTCTTCTCAATTTTAATCTGGGCTAAATTTCCGCACGCGAACGAGTATGTTATGTAGATAGATGTAATTCTGTTCGGACGGTGATCTTTTTCTAAGAACAACTCAAATTAAGCAATATACTATATTATACACGAAAAAGGAACGAAAGTAATGGCGATGAGTGGTTGAGAATAGAAGTTGAGTGATGGTCGTTCTGTGTGCGACCTCCCTCAATGGAAAAGAAGGTCATTCGGTGCTAAGAAAGATTAAGTTAGGTCGTACTGGTACATGTCATGCATAAAATACTTATGCAGCAAATTATGCAATTATGTAAGCATCATATCATTTTTATCGAGACTTGCCATCAATCAATCCATCAATCACTCATCACCCAACAACATCAACATCATTATCAATACACACATCTCATACTACAATAGATACATTTATCCGTCGGATAAGGGATCTGCGGATGAAATGAAAGGATCTTCTTGACAAGATATTTACATGTACACATCTTCGCGAGTGCGGCTTGATTTTCCGTTGCAGATATATCCTCATGTAGTGCATGAGATTGATACATGAATAGAACCTGCCAATGTTTGGTTGACCAGTCCAGAAATATATGATTACAACCTGCCGATGTATGGTTGACCAGTTCAAAGACTTGTTCTCGTTACTTTACAACTACTCAAGAGAGATTGGTCAGAATGCAGCTACAATTCAGCCGCCTCGGGAAAACTAAATCCCCATTTTCGCTCTTTCGCTCACTAAGTGATTACCCCGCAGTCCATCGTGAACTTGGCCAATATCGCTTCAATATTTTGCAGTCTTATAAGTAACGATGCCGGAGCAATAAAGAAATGCTTTATGTGCTGTATTTTGTTGTGTTTTTCGCTGGCGTAACTCTCGCACTCTCAAGATGAAGTCGTCTATGATCTCAATAACTCTTTTGTTTCTTGCAAATGTGGTAAATGCAACAATCTGGCAGAATAATCAAGTCCGGGTCACCAATTACCCCAACACAAAGATTGAGCTCGCAGGCTATGATTTCACTGGCTATTCTCCCAGTACACCAGAGATCTCTTATAAAGGACGATGGGACAGTAAATATGTATCCTGGTGGTCGTAGGTTATCTCTTCTTAAGTTTCCTCATGGAAGCGCGAGAAAAAAGCTAAACAAGCGTCAGAGCACCTGGACTCAAATTTGGATTTACGGGACAAGAAGTCGCAATCACTTTTGGACCTTTAACCTCGGACACGGTGTTAGTTGGTTATCGAGTAAATGGACAGGATTGGCAGCTCACAAATATCACTACAAATGCCACGCATTTACTTGTCAGTCCAGAGTCTTCCGCAATCAACATCGGCTGGCCCATATACCCCCCGACGTTTGAGCTCCGAGTGATAAACTGGGCCTACGGCATCCAAATCTCTGCTGTCCACTTGAGTAAAGGTGAAAGGCCGATCAAAATTCCAAAATTTTCAAGGTCAATCGAATTCATTGGAGATTCACTTTCATCGGGTTACACAGCTACTCTAGAGGGACTCTCGAGCTTTGCGTATGGTATGGGGGCTGGCCTTGGGAATACTGAATACTCAATCACCGCATATCCGGGTATTTGTCTATTCGATAAGTTGTGCTTCGGCAATACTCGAGGGATGTTTCATCAATGGTATTATACTTCTGATACTAGCTATCGAGCTTCTCAAATATGGGGTGAGAAACCGGAGCTCTGGGATTTTTCCAAGCAAGATGATGCAGATCTCGTAGTGATCAACTTGGGGACTAATGACAGCAATGAGGCAAACAATGTTACGAGTGCCGAGTACGTTGCTCAATATACCTTGTTAATCGAAGGTATTCATGCTGTTTGGCCCAACGCTCAAGTTATTCTCATTGTAAGTCCAAGTCTTCAATTGCGTATGAAAAATGCTGATGGGGTTAGTCTTTGTGGGAAGGTTTCTTTGCCTATGGGAATTCCTACGCGCAAGCCCAAGGGTTTACCACTGAGATACACAATATCCATCAGTATTTCAACTCCAAGGACTACCTATCCAACCCCATACTGTATAACCCGCATACGAATTCTACCTATTCGTCTCATCGGCCGTCTGCTCCATTCGTATCATACTTCAACACCACAGGCTTGATGCAGCACAATGATATAGGACCAGCATATCATCCAACGGACGTGGGGCATATCAAAATTGCGAGCCACTTGATCCAGTATGTCAGAGTGAAGTTTGGGTGGGAGTTGTATGCGACTGGACCGGAAGTATTTCACGACACCCTTTATGTAAGTTTGTATCTCAATTTTATACTTGTACTTTCTATGAACTACTGTACTGACTTATCATTTAGTGGAATGACAACCAAAGTTATTGAATTCTCGGCGCTCACTACATATATATACATAGAACATTTGCCATGAAGTCATGATAACCTTTATTCCTCCCGCCCCGCATGTTTGACAGACCCTACACAGCCTCCTTCACGAATCTGTCATCTGATATCCATCACATCCCCGTAGCTTGGTCGGTTGATAGTGCACTGCCTCCCGCGAAGATCAAAAATCACCGATCCGCATAGTTGTTTCGTGATAACAGGTTTTCTCGTGACTTCGATCTCTATTGTTTTAATTGATTTCATATGTTTATAACCCATCTTTCCTCACTCATATCTTTCCAACCCACCTCAAATCGACCGGTCGATTTTCCCGCTAACCCCACCCCCAAGACAAATGAAACTCCCCAACCCAAGCGCCCAGCATCTCGCCCATCGAGCTTTCCCCAAGTTTCACCTCGTCTCAAGTCGCACAACCCGTAACCCCGGTCGTCCCATGTCAACTAGCCATCCATGACACCCCTCCCGAGCTCCCCTGTCACATCTCAAACCCCAAATCTCAACCTTAATTCCCCTCCTTCCCCATCCAAACTCTCTGTGTTTCATCTCATTTCTTTATTTCTGCATTGGGCTTGCGCCGAGGAACATCTGTTCGGATGTAGGAATTTTGATACTGGGTGGTGGTGGTGGTTTCCAATGCTTACTTTGATAGGAATGATCCTGGTGTGTGCATGAACGAGATCATCCGTTCGTTTTGGTGATCGTCGATGTATTAGGATCGTAGTTGAAATACAGCGAAGTTCAGATATATCATAAGCATCATTTTTAATCATGCTCACATGAGAACAGTAGACTGATCGCTGGCTCATACCTTACTATGGACATGGATTTGATTGAAAAGAAGCAATGCAATCAGTATCAAAACAAAATTTGCATGACTAACTAGCATTAGCGATGGATATGCAGATCCTCACTCACTAGAACCAAATTCATTCAACAGGTAGTATCAGAATTGCTATGACCTTCACGCCGCAAAAGCAATACAGATTTACGACCATACATCACCCAACTAGTCGCGACACATATCTTTTCGGCGTATCCACTTACATACTACTCAATAGATCTCCTCGTTTCACAACATTCAAAAGCACTTTCCCCTATCATAATCACACATATCACATTTCCCATGTACCAGCATGAATACCTCCGACCTCCGACCCCCGCCGCCACATATCCTATCACGGAAGCCACTTCCGAAGCCACTTGCGGAAAATCTCCATTTGCTCACAGACGCTGCAGGAGACCTATCAACCTCCGAAGCCGAATAGGCTTCCTTCTCATACTGGATCGTCGATGCGATGAATCAGCAGCAACTTAGGTTAACTTGCAGTCTTGCACAACATAGGACCGTGGCCAGAACATGTCAACACATCAAAGTGTGGATGAATGTTAAGGCTGAACAATATTGAATTTCTTGCGCAAATCCGGTAAGGACGGGGAACGACGCGCACGACGATCCGGGGCAGGTAAGCATGCGGTGTGATGCATGTAAACGTGTATTCAGGGAGTTGGGATCTTGTAAGGATAATTTGCTTTTCGCTAGGACGAATATTCGTGGGCTGAAGGATCGCGGTGAGTGAGTATAGCTAATTAGCTACGATCATCGGTCGTGTATGATTGGAGCGGTGCTGATTGTAGCAAACATGTGTGCGGATGGAGGGCGAAACATGCGGGACATGGTTCTATTTGAGATGAATATGCAGAGAGAGGGCGAGAAAAGAACTTCAGGGAACGGGACTTACTTGGGTAGAAGCAATTTGTATATATGTGATGTTTGGTTGTGTTGTAGCCTAGGGATAAAGTCATATACTACATATTGCATATGAAGATCGAAATCAACTAGTTCAGAATGCAGACGCAGGGACGCGCGCTTCGAATTGCTTTTAGATGATCAGCCCTAGCTGCGGGTGCCCAAAACTTTTATTTCGATTTATTCAGCTATGTTCCAAGCCTGCTGTGCAACGGGCGATTATGTACAGGTTGGTGGAACGTTTATTAGTGCTTGTGCTTTGTGTTTACATTCTCTCCACAGCTCGTTGTATGGCACCAACCCAGAAATCGACATTTAAGGTTCTTTTTCCTAGTCGATGTCATAAACTATAGTACCAAAACAGGCCAGACGAGCCATTTTCAGCCCCAAGCCCCCTGAGTTCTGTGCTCGTTTGCTGTCCAGGGAGGTTGTTAATGGGCTGTTGAAGAAAAAAGAAGTTAACAGCAAAAAAAGTCGACACCTATCGCATTTTGAAAGACGCCACCAATATTCATCATCCCGTTCCATTCGGAGAAAAAAGAAAAAATAGAACATCAAAAGAAATGAAAAGAAGCCACAACGTTGCAATATTCTAACGTCTATGGGAAGTTCTTGTCCGAGGTGGCTTCTGCCAAGTCTTGGGGAATTGACTGCCGCGTGATCGTGACGGCATAATGGTATGTACACAGGTAGATCATATGCAAGAATCAACTTTCTTTGATACCTACGTATAAATTTTTTGGGGAGGCAATACTTCTCAATGGCATACAGTACTTTTAGCGGACATGCGCCATAGGGACTGGCATCATAGATGCGGGTATCTGCAGGTGACTTCGTAAGAATGGGATGACTTTTGATTTTTGATAAGCAAGTCATTCAGCTCGGTTGCAGATACAAATTTTGCTATAACTGGAGCGCAAATACTAATGTGATGCATCGATTCTGTGCTTCTATCGTTGCAGTCAAAGTGCGCCCCGCTTGTGGATTGCAGCTACAGTGAGCCGGGTGGACCTAAAGGGTTGACAAGTCTGAGGATGATACCCGTCGGGCCAGAGATGGAAATGCAAGTGAAATCGATAGGCTAAAGTGTCGCTGACCCGATGAAGATACTTGATCTCGGGGCGATAGTCGGATGAATTGTCCCCCCCCTGCGAACGCATACGGTGCTCATTCCCCTACTATCGGCTTGTGGAACTCAAGTTTTGTGTCTAGACGTGTCAAAACGTGGTTCCAAATTGGTGATATTATCATTGTAGGTTTGTGGGACTTTTAGTCAGTTCCTACTGTAGGGATGAGGCCATTTTGATTAAGCTAAAAGCTCCAAATGACCCCTCTACTGCGCCTTGCAATGTCAATCTTTAACCAAAACCGGGAGTGTCTACGAAGCGAATGGATCTGATCGATTCTCCGAGAATAGATTGATTGAAGGGTTGTTCGAAGTTTGACAGGCGCAAAAGGGTAACTATAACCCAATGATCGCTCTCACTATTTGATCCACCCCTCCACTAAATCTCCGAATGGGAGTGACTCCACGAGAATGGTCTTGATTGAGAGTTGAGATAGCTGGTTTTCTTGATCACTTATCAGAGAATGTTGATCATTCTCGTTGGATAGTCAATATCCGTATTTAAAGTAGAAATTCTCGAAAATTCTCGAAAAAGCAAAGTGTTTCAAGGTGTTAGCCTGAAGCAATTCCCAAAGCCTGAAGCGATGTATAGAAGTTGGTTTTATAGGTGGCTGTAACAAGGTCCAGGGCCCTAATAAAAAACAAATAATGCGGTACTGCACCAGTGATGATGGTTTCGATGGTGTCGGCTTTGCATACCAAATAGGAAATGTAATGACTTGGTCGGCGGTTGCAAAGGGAACGCAGTGTGAATTAACTTCCGGGGTATGTTTCTTCCTTATGTTTCAAGACAAGCACAATCAGGACTCCGTACTTTGAGAATCTAAACTTGAAGATACAAGAAATGCATGCATATTCAATGATACCTTGTTATTGAAAATAAGGTGTTAAAGTTCGGATGAGGGCTGGATCTGGTGGCACTTTTGTCGTAAAGCAATCGAATCACAAGTACAATAAGGTACTGTAAGAAATCTTCCAGTCGTATGCAAAACGATTCTCCACGATTGCAGAAGCCTATTCTCAGAATATTCAAATAGGCAGATATACGCCTATGCCATCTGAAAGTTGGCGAAGTGGATTGGGGACAATGAGCAGGCGTTGGAAGCAGTTTTTAACGGATGATCGACCTCCGCCTGGTAAATACTTGTCCGCCGGAGTTGATCCTAGATGAACATCAAGATCCAATATATGCAAATAATATGCAGCCCGAATCTGTTGAGTGACCTCAATTCTGGCATTTCTTGGTAGCAGGAAAAGAAAGGGAGTTGATAGAGATAGACCCCATGATTGGGAGCCATCGACAAAAGCCCAGTTGCCGAAGTTCTTGAGGATGTGATGAAAATGTTAGCATCATGAACAGTTGATTAAGAGGCTTTTGAGAACATGCATTATATATTAATTCAAGGGGCTAAAAGTGCACCATGCACATGCATATTGGTGGGAACTCTTGCCTATTCAGGATGCATGCATTCCTTACTCCATCCAGTCGGTGATTCGAGGAGTCTTTGACTCGAAGAAACAAGTTGTCAGCTTGATAAAAACTGCAGATACGCCTTTGTTCTTGTTGAAGATTGAACAACTGTCAAAGGTATATCCTGGGGTAACAGTACATAGGGCTATACCTGTACCTATATATGTTTGCCAAAGATGCTATAGACGAGACGGTACTGGAGTAGTTCGCTCTTTGCATATCACCACCGAGTGAGTATGCCTGTCAAGCCATGGAGTCGAAGATCAACCTGGGAACTAACTGTACACGGCATCCTTTGGCGACCGCGGGGCAAACTTAATCCAAGACTCCATGTGGCTATCAGCGATAATCCTTGGATGAGAAGGACCGACAAGCTGCCACTGTCCTGGGGCCCCTGGTGGTAAGTATCGCTGGAGTGCGAAGATCACTCTGCAGTAGATGATTTTGACACCAATCATAGTCCATTGATTAAACTTAATGCTCGATAACAATATACCCTCAAGAAGCTCATAAAGTTTCTATTTATACCCTCGCAGAGACTTTCAATTGTTCCAAGTAGGTAAGAAGGATCGACTTAGCTTTGTTTGCCAACCTCCTGTCCAGTGGTTCTATGTATTTTCCATCTTGCTTTATTCAGTATTGGGTAGCATTTCCATGATTGATTGGAGTTTAATCAATATGCCAGAATGGCTGCTTGCAGAAATCATTTCCGCAGCTTTCCATAGGCACGAGCCACGATATCCTTATCACCTTGCATTTGCACTGTAAAATATGCGACATCTATTAGCTTTAATGCTACCTACTGAACAACGAACAAATACATATACGGTACTACAGCACTTACTGTATTGTACACAATACAACGAGATAGTTGTTAGCGATTATGGCATAAGGAGACGGATAGTTACCTGGCCGTGATACTTCTCACACTTCAGCCCATCTATGCTTGTTGTCGCCTGATACAAACTTTGCCTGTTCGCATCAATCTGGAAGCGAGAAAGCCTCTTCGGGAGATCATCTGCCGCACATCGAAAAGGCTTATGGGCATCCGAAACATAGCAAATACACAAGGTCACGGAGAATTGATCATAATAAGTGGTTAAGTAGACTCCAAACGTTATTGAACTTGTCGAGTTTCGATTGTGACTACATATATTACAATATACCGGTACACGATCGTTCGAATTGATTGATCATATTCACCATATCATTACTGAACTCGTTTTGTACCCTTTGCTTTTTTCAGCCTCCGCTGTTGCTAGTCTACTCCAGGTTTCTTCTCCGGAGGGGGTAATGAAGGGGCTTCGCGGCGTTATGGTCGCATTTTAGCGCAGTAGTGCTTTTTAGGCGAACATATGAAACATATGAAAGTAGAAATAATCACTGGCTAATTTGTATTTATCAGTACCTTGATATTTGCCGTGGCGTTCCTCGATGGTGTCGTGCTTGTAAAGTCGACACAGTAAATAAGATGCGGTTGCACTAACATCTCAGCAATTGGGTATGGAAGAATCTTAGAAGGTTACCATGTTATCGCTGTCTTCTCCAACGGTCCAACCAGCTTGTCAGATACTTCCACCGATGGTGTGTGTCCTAAGATCTACATTATCCGAGGCAAGAGGGATCACCATGGCGTTTTTTAGCTTTAGTTTTGTCTCTATCTTACCGGTCTAATCAAAATAATGGGGAATAGGCCCCTGATACGATAGTAAAACAAGGGTATTCGACTCGACCCAACATGCTGGCCGTGGACACAACCGAGGCAGGTTGTCTGAAAAGGAATTTAGATGGGCACTGGTAAGCATTACGTGAGTTAGGAACGAGTGAAGACTTGACTGGGTTGATTGTGGTAACGAAAAATCTGTATAGTGCCACAAGTTTCTCGGTGAGTCGGCGTATAATAGTTGGGGATATCCAGTGGAAATCTTTCAAAGCCCCTTCATCTTCTTATTACGATATATGTACCACTTCAAAGTCTTGAACGCGAAAATAACAACAAGATTATTGTACAATATCTCTCGTCAGTTTCGTAGCTATACTTGTTGGCAAGATGAGTAATTGAATAATAATTCGTTGGATAAACCATCAATTTGATCCGATTTTTGTTTGATGACAATCATCACGAAAATTAGGATGATCCTCATAACCCTAGAATTAACCCAAATCATTCAGCCCAAATCATTCAGCTCTTTGAAACACACATCTATCTAATTCCCAATGAAGATGCAAGACCGAGATTTGTTTATATTCATACGAAAGCACTTTCTTAATTAATATATGTTTCGACTGTCAGGTCAAAAGGATCCCCGACAAGATTAACCAAGATTAGGCCCTCAACGTTCTCGAACCTCAAGCAAACATCCCGTATCCCTTGCGCCGGGATATCCAGCGGCACTGTACATCTTAAGTTCTAATACGGAGAAAAAGCATGGTCAACACGGGCCGTGGTGATGAAAAAGCGTGTGATTGATCATTGATTATCATTGACAGGAGCATAGAAGTCCCACAGAGAAGAATCTAGATAGAGACGGCACGGGTAGCGACATTCTAGACTGTCATTAAAATGTTCGATGAACTGGTCGATGTACTCTTATTTAGCAAATTTCTTAGGCTCTGAATTGAATTCAGACAGCAACCGAGAAACACGAAGAACACATCATATTCTATACTGTATCAAATTACTCTCTAGCCTCTCCCCTGCTCATGACCATCGACGAAATAATTCGTTTTTTAATACCTAGCAACCTCCTATCTACCCTGCTCATCAGAAGAATATGAACTACTCGAGTACAACGTCTAAAGTAGAATACTGATGATCACGGCGGATAAAGGAACGATGTTCCCCAATGCTGATAGACATTCATCAAAGGGATGAAACTCTATTCGTAAGCAGGTTGGCCGTCCGTCCATGGCCAAAATATCATCAGCATTGCAGGAACCGCACAGCAGGATGGTAACCTCCAGAATTCCGTAATATTAAGATCATTTCTCTACCGGCACTTCATTACGCCGTGTAACAAAAGATAATCTCACTGCGCTGGCCACAACATTATATTTCTTCAGGCCTCGATAGGCAACCTCGCTGTTTAGAGGTTCTGACGATATCGCGGATATTCATCAAATATTGGACTCGTCTCCATTCAAATGAGCGGAGGGGAAACCCTGCATCATATCATCTTCCCAACCTTTATCACGGACCCCTCCATTCTCCAAGCGAGCACCGGCAGAGACAAGCAGCGGGCGATCGCTGGAGCAACTGTAAGGGTATTCAAGAGCAAGGGAATGCCTTGAATGCCTTGAAGCCGCTCTTCCAGAGATTCGTCCAATCTACTCTAAGCTAGCAGCAGCCTTGCATTTTTATTGGTTAGTTGCAACACTTATTCGTCCCAAAAACGCTGGATTGTGTCAAAGTATCACCACTGCACCAGCGATTCACTTGATTCCCAAATTGTAGCATATTCTGCGAACAGACGAATTATGAGTGGCATGAATTTTGTATATCACGATTGTTACTTGAAGATAATTTGGGGAACTTAGAGATTGTATAGCTGTGAAATGCAGAGTTTGAAAGCTAGCATGCATATACGTACAGCTTCACCGGCATGAACTAGGGAAATACAGAACACGAAACTCATCCAACGCCCGAGTTCTTCCCACGGTAGTTGCCAGAATGAAAAGTACTGTACATAATCATCAACAAAATGTATGTCTAGGTAGGCTCTAGGTATGTTGTAGCTACTCGAGTATACCTGCCATCAATCTGGCAGAGCTCTGAAGACTCAGATTAGATTACAGTATAGCGGGCAAATTCGACTACAATTCATCGTTAACTTTATCAACCCTTCTAATGTTAACTTTTCCAAGGCTTTGCTCTACTAATTTGCCGATGAAAGGTTCATACCAGCCGATCCCAACCTGGACTCACCGTTTGCGCGTCACCTCGTCTCATATCTTTTCTTAGCAAGCTGTCAAAAACCTAATCCCAAACATGTTGAAGTGACAGGCAGGGTCACCCTTCAAAACCTGAAAATTATGTCGAAAGAAGGATCCACGACATCTGAATTGGGTTATGCTCCGAAGCATGCCTGTCCGCATTAAACAAGCATCCTTACCCTAGCCAATCCCCTCCAATCCATCCACTTGCGGGTGCATAACGAAAGTAACGGTCATTGCAGGCATGAGACCCCCTGGACCCACCCTGGGCAATCCTGGAAAATCATCCACTGCAAGTCCACATCGAGCACGCAGTACCGGTCGAGCAATACCAAAAGGCGGCGAAATCCCGTAGACCAATATGAAGCAGACGGTCGTCCGGATCATTCCATCCATCGAGTATTATTATTAGTGCCAAGTTTGGGGCATCTGAAGTCACAGTCCCGGAAGGTAGACCCACACCCAATTTGTGACAGCAAGTGTTACTCTGGTATCCTACCAGGATCTCTTTGGTGGATTCGCGCTGATCGCCCACACCCACTGCCTTCGGGAGATCTGATATTAAATATCTAACGATCCCTCGTGTCCTTCAAAAGCCTTATATTCGCAGACGTATCTTGAAAGTAATAGGTTCGGTCAGCTTATATACATCACCAGACGAGTGAAACATACGGAAGAACTCGAAGTAATAATCTAATCAACATTCAACGACCTCTTACATCTATCTACCCATCAACTTCCATTCGCCTCTTTACAGCTTCGATCTTGATCTACTTCACATAAGGCTATGAATCTCTCCAGTCTTGTCCACGAACGAAGAAATCATCAACAACATTTCTCTCATTATAACAACACACCAGAAGTGATGGCTTCAAGTCCTTACACAGTCCAGCCCATGGCTCAACATGCTTCCTATACATACGTCAATGCACCTCAACCACCACCTTCTCCACCCGTAGACGAAGCTTCAAAATGTTCCCTACCATCAATTTCAAGTCTATTAGGTTTGGCCGATGGATCAAGTCCTACAGAGCAAACTCAGCAACAGTCATCGCCAAAACAAGGTTAGTGCTCTCTGATGCTCCATTGTGTTTCATATGATTGATTTTTTGCCTCAGCACCTTTGAAGGAAGAATACAGACCTGAATCTGGACACCAGTACGGTCCTTCCCCATCGATGAGCTCTCGAGGTGCTCTTCCACCCACGCCTCCGATGCATTCTGACGGCGGCTTTGACGGCAGACAATCACCACCACAAGCATCCACTTCATCATACTCAGTAGTCTCCGCACCAAGTTATTACTTCAATCCTTCCCAGATTTCAGCTATCAACAACATGGAGCCTCACGCACAACGCCAGCTAGTTCCAGCTGCGACTCGAAGAGTCTCAATGCCAGTGTCTCCAATGCCATATGCTCATTCGCCATTCAATGGTTCCTATACTATGTCTCCAGGAGCCCAGTCTTTGAGCTCTTACTACCCGAGTCCGATACAAGCACAGCCTCCTCAGGTGTCTGGACTATATTATCAAAGACCACTTCCTCATGTATGTTTATTGCCTTTAAGAAATGAGAAATTGTGACTAATTCCTAAATAGCAATTTCCTCCACCACTGATGCCAGTGTCTGTGACTCTGACTCCATCCTCTGGTACTAATCCATGGCAACATCACCACTACATCTCGCCTTCGTCGGCAGCCTCATTCCCTCAGTCACAAGATAGATATATCTGTCAGACTTGCAATAAGGCATTCTCGAGACCGTCGAGTCTTAGAATTCACAGCCACTCACATACTGGCGAGAAACCTTTCAAGTGCCCACATCAAAATTGCGGGAAAGCATTCAGTGTTAGGAGTAATATGAAGCGACACGAGCGGGGGTGCCACAGTTTTGAAAGTGGATCTATGGTCTGAGTGTCATCGTCTTTATGGGTCGATTGGCCATGGCAGGTGATAATTTCGCTTGTCACTAATGTATAAATAGCTGGGTATTGTGTGGGATGACTTTCTTAATCACGATACCCGTCCTCTTGGTCTATATTTCTTATTTTTGGAGGATCTGTATAATTATGAGAAGGCGTCTGGGAACACTTGGGGGTTGGAAACTATCTGCGGTCCGCATTTACATGGGCGTTTAATGGCTATTAGTTCCTCAAACATTATGAGAGAACGGATTTGTTATATGAAGATAAGGCTGAGACGAAGGGATCGCGAGGTTTCGAGGTGGCTTTGGAAAACAAGATTGGAAAGGCAGCAAATGTCATGAAGAGATGCTTGCAGGTCCACCATCATCCTCTAGAGAATAGACAGATGATAGTGTAAAAGTAATGGAATCAATTCAACAAATCCTCAGAAGGACACACAATCCTTCTTTCTCTTTCATCTTTCGCACCCAGTGCTATTCAGAAATTTCCATCTTTATCCGGAAATTCATTTATGACTTGTCTCTCTAGAAAGAATATTCCAAAGGTTCTAAGGAATAGATGGATATGAAGTTTTATGAACCGTTACTTTTTCATAACATGATCTCTGGATCTATTTGTTTCAAACACAGCTCGGCAAACCCCTCACCCACATTCCCATTGGCGAACGCTTTCAAGATACAAGATTCATCAGACATTACATACCAAACATTTTACATGCAACATTGGGTGCTCAAACGCATCATAAAACACGCTCTACAGTAACTCTGCTCATATCTACTCTCGGTCCCCTCTACGAGAAAAAAAGTCAAATAATAAAGCACAAACAGGAGCACCTCTCCACTCGCTCTCCACTCTTCCACCCTTGCAGGCAACGTTGCTACGGAACTTGAACCTAGACGCGAACCCACAAGACGTCAAGGACCCCAGAGGCCAGAAGATCTGATCTCCTGCATCTTGGGATTATCCGCCCACTATCTGCGGTGGCTATGGCCATCAATGGTCAATCAGCTTCATCGTTGCGGAAGTCGCTTCTCCACTTCTCTATCCTCTTCCCGCCCCAATGCCTCCTTCCCCTTTCTCTCAGTCTGGCAGTCAGTGTCTGCATCTCCCACTTGGTAGGATTATGATTGAGAAAAGCTCGCTTGAGTATAGTTATTTGCACTGCACAAGTTGGCACCGGTTGTTTTCAATGGAGATATGCTCGAGTCATTCTTGAAGATTTGACCGGGTAGAGAGAGTCAGTTTCTACTGTACGGTTAATAAGATTATAGATACTCATGCCGCCAGAAAGTCCGCAACTTGGGTAAGTTAGCACATGCCATAAGGTGGTAAACTACAACAGGAATAGCCTAGTTTTTAACTTCCCGAGTTGCAAACTTTCTGGCAGCATGAGTACGTACTCTCCGTGATGATCTACGATTTAGAGGGACCTTGGATGGATGACCGTCAGTACCTGGCTGTATATTAGAGTTCATTGATGCTGCAAAGAGAGTTTCGACGCATATGAGGGGAACCTGGAAAGCAGATCAAGCTTCGTCAGCTGCGACAGCAGTGCTAATCATATTTGCTAATTGTCCAGCTGCAGCTGCTGAGGTGCCAGCCAGCTGACTGAACATTAACTTATTCCTGTACAATGTGTGGATGTTCACAAGAGTGACGAAATCCAAAACCTAAAAGGTGCACATGTAGGATGATCCTACCGCGAATACTTACCTGTGGCTGAAAGTTTTGAGATCAGGGACATGGGAGTAGTATCTCGCTCCCCTTTCGTACTCGTTCTATCAGCCAGTAAGTATACGAGCGAGGGTATATAATAACAAACTACACCAAAATATAGCATCACCGCCGTTCCCGGGGCCCAATACCTGTTATGTTACACTGTTGCACGCCTTGGATATTTACCGCAACCAACCAAACCCAATTCAAGCAGCCCCATCCTTCCCATTCTATAGCTCTCAGACGCTATAACATACTACAGCGAGACACCAAACCATCACACAAAAGCAAATTTCATCACCAATGTCCTGAATCCACTGACCACCCTCCCGAGTCCCAATTCAGGAAACCCCCGCGATCCACTTCTACTAACACCTAGGTTATTTTTTATCTCCTATCCGCTCGATTCCTTGCAAAGGAGCCCTGTAAACATCTCGGATGTTTTCACTAATGGATAAGAACCGTCGCACATCTTATCCATCATACGCATCGCTCAAAACCTTAGGCGACCATACCCATCGCGAACAATATCTCCACTGTCAAAAAGCCTGTCAAGCTATGTGGTGCTTCTCCACTCATTGGCACTGATCGTCGACGTTTAGAATCCTCTCCATCGACGCCCCCGTAATCTTCTTCCCTAGTCCCATATCCGAATCTAGATGCCATGCCAAACCTCTGTAACCGAGATTTTGAGTGCACAGTACTGGCACCAGAAGATCTCAGATATCATCCAATTCATGGTTCATCCCCGGTTCCAGCATTATCCCTCCCAAACCTCTTTCTCCGGAAGAGGGAATTTTCTTCAATATTGACAATCATCGGAGATTTGCCAGTCCACGCAATATATTTATCGTATCCATCTTCTATACTCTAGAAGATGTTTAATCCTTCCATAACTCTCATTTCTGCTGGCAAATTGCATAAATTGCTTGATATATTGATACCCAGGTACTTTAGACGTTATTGAAATGGTATTATGGGTGGGGATAAGGGGTCAAACCACCGCCAAGCACACTGACAGTCATCTAAGCCCTATAACGTGTCTGGAATTAACAATACATACACGGAGTATATACCCAAACTTGAATATTGTATTTCTCTTCCATGAACATCGTATATCGGCGTAGATTAAAAGCCCATGAAGTATTTCCCAAAACAATTTGACGTGTGCAGGCATTTCGATAGAAGAACGGAAACGGTAATTTCGCCACGTGGGTTTTCAATGGGTAATGGGTAATGGATACGCTTCGGGGATTAGATATATAATTCGATATCAATGGATATTCAAGGACTACCGACCGGTATACCGAATAGCATGAAAATAGATCTTAATTATTATATGAGTGCGGAAATTTGTTTTAAGGTATATTGGGCAGTATTAAGACAAGGGACGGGTAACTAAACATGTCCGATATGGATCCTGTCACCGCCATTAAAAATCCACTACACGGCAAATCTGCAGATACACGGTACAACGGGGGTACACGCCCTAACGAACGTTACCTGTCGTACTGGTATATGTTTCAGAACTCGAGCAAAACAGCCTGAGATCAGCACTCTGGGCACTGACTCGCAAAACAAGCGCCCTGCACGCGAAACGGTGAAGAACTTTTATGATTCGACAGATATGACAATATAAAACAACGAAGACGACCCGGTATAGCGTCTACTCTGTACTACCTACTATAGATATTGAACCCTGCTTCTTGTGGGTGGATTTGAGTTCGCCATCGATCTGGGAGGGTCCTTGCTCCAGTTTTCATCCCATCCTTTCATGCACTGGCAGTAATCCGGGATACCTCCTCGCTAAGAGTTGTTATGAAAACAATTTCAATTTCCCCGACATTTTACCTCGCTCGACTTTCCTCCCCGACATTTTAAAACAAAAATCATAAACTGTATATGCTGACCCCCCACGAACATCATGAAATCCCACGAGCTTTCATTCCCTTGAAATCCAACATCTACACGAAGATCTAAATGATCCTCCGGCCGATGCTTAAGTCAGAATCTACGAAGTAGATGTTCTGAAAAAAATCGTACGACATTTTTCGACAAGGGAAAGGTATCAAACGTACCAAAGCTTCTCTTTTGACCCCCAGCCACATTATTCCCGAATTACGGTTAAAACGAGATTTGCATTGTCGAGAGAGATCACGGTAGCTTTGCCGAGATGATGTGTCTTTTGGGAGACTTGTCTTGGATGCCCTGTCAATATGGTGGTATGCTTGATTGATGATATACGGTTGTCATGTACTAGTACAGAGCCTCCGGGTGTTCTGGAAAATCGATTTTGGGATTGGTGGCCCGACAATCGGGATTCGGGAATGAACTTTATTGAGACCGAGGTTCTATGTAACACTGTAGGTGTCGATCAGGGGTATACGTCATAATCTGCAATTTGGTGTGCTAACTTTCCTCTTCGAGATTCTTCCTTCCCGAATCGTTTCGATACCACTGTGTCATTGCCAAGTTGACATTCTCGTGAAGAAGCAAAACTACATTCCCATGTGACAGGCTCGAGAAAACAGTTGCCACAAATACGAACTCATTGAGTAGCGCTCACCGAACCAATATCATATAGGATTTTGTTGCATATTATAGTCTTCATCTTCCGTTAGGTATAGCTGTGGAGAGGGTAGATGAATTTATTATTTGCATGACGACCAAAACATTCAAGTGGATAGAATGAAAGTAAGTGAAGCTGAAAGAATTTCGGTGGTAATAGATTGCCCCTAAAAGCGAAGGGCTCTGGACTCTAGACTCTGTAAATATGCGACAGTGTAACTTGCGGTGCAGGTAGTAGCATTCAGCTTCATCGGCCGGACTCATGAGCATATTCAAGGAGGAAACGTGGGTTGTAAAGGCTCGGATAGTTTCGAAGCCTTCTTTTTTTTGCTCCGCTGAACAAATGGAACGTTAGAACAAAAATCATTGTAAACTGCAACACTCACAATCATTTGTTTGATTAGATATATGCGAATTAGTGTCGTATAAAAATGGCAACCAACCTCCATTCCATTCATCCCACTCCAACCTATACAACACTCACACTCTTCGGCAGAATCCCAGGCTGGCTTTCTTCTTGTGTTTTAGATACATCTTCTCCTCTTGGCCCCCGTGTCCTTTTTCTACTTATTTAATCGACCCTCTGCCTTCGTCATGGATCAGAATGATGATTGAAATCAGCAAATCACATACCACGGGCTGAACAACAACACATTCGAACCGATGCAGCCTAGATACGCGGATGTTGGTTCGGATCGTCGTTCGATGTTAGAACTAGAATTGTCCGAATTCTGTATATCTTTCTCTTAATGGATCGATATGGCTTCAATAAACGGTCAGTAATCCTTTTGGTCTGTTAGTTATGATGTCAACGCTGATAGTAATTTGATCAATAACAATTCAACAATTTTGATGTTTCCGCTAATCTAGAGAATATCTAATGTTTCTCTGTTCGTTATATGCTCCACACGATCCAATTCTTTGAGAGTCTGTATAAGTTCATTTGCAGCTGGAGATATACATAATCGAGATTCCGCCACAAGAGACTATAGCGATACAATGGGTCCTCTTGACGACAGGTAAAAGTGAGCGGAATATCATCACTAAATTTGTGTTTTGTGGTATAAACATTGCAAGTACCATGCTTTCTGATACAATACTCATGTCCGTACACAACAATAACGTGAACAGTCATTACACCCATTACGCATTGTATGTGTTAACCCGCCTTTTTGAGCAATGCTGCTTGAACTCTCACTCCGCAGCTTTGACCCGAAGTGTCGACGTCGATCCATTTCAAAGCAATGGATAAATCTGTTCCATGCCAAAGTAACAACAATACAATGCACTCAAGACCTTTTCGGGATTGCAAGAGAAAGCAGGGTGGATTCATCTTGATATTGAGGGGGCAACGTCTCTTTATCAATTTGAGGCTTCTAGCTATTGCCATTTGAGAGTGTCATGGCCATCATCATTCATTTGATGGTACTCAACCCTTTACTTCAGTACACTTGATGTTTCGACATATTTTCCATAGATTGATGGAACTTTGGGCTACAAAGAAAACTCGTGTCTTGACAGACTGCGCTAGAGATCAAGACTTCTTGGACTTAGTGTTTAGAGAAGTACTGTGACCCTATACTAGACAATGGTACATAAACTCAATGAAATGAGGAAATATGGACGAAATAAAAAAAACTTGTGATGAAAGCACAAAGGCTCACTGATTTAATAGCGATGGTAGCGATAGTTCTTGATTCTTGCTTTCCGACATGATTTTCCAAGGGGATGTCAAATTAGACAAAAGAGTAAAAATATAAAGTGGTACTTTGTTGCACCCAGTTTTGAGACATCAATCTGGCACACTAGGAGCTCTTTTTCCAAGCAGGTACAGCACCATGTGATTTGTACTCACAGTTTTGCCTATCATATCGATACTGAGAACTGTAAAACCAAAAATTCATGTACTCAAAGCCAAAAGGCTTGCTTGTTATTGAGTTGGGGCTGGTCCTGGTGATAGGGTCATACATAATGTAGTGAAGAACAATTTGTCTGTCAACTAGAGTTCATCCCAAGAAAAACTCAATGAATAAAGATACTGTGAAGTATCCCAGAATAATTTCCCTGCAAAGTTATCTCCAATATATTCCTGTGAATTCAAAAATTGAGAGACTCAACTGAAAGAAGGTTGTTCCATTAGAGCTGGTTATGGTTTGCTCAAGCAGTAGTAGTCTACTTCTGAACATGCTTGAATGATATGATACTTCATACAATTAACTACAGCCATAGATAAATATATCAATACAAAATTCGACATAAAAAAGATGAACTCACTAGACTTGTGTTGTTGTAATAAGACTTTATGGCTACGGAAAGGTAAGTTCCCCATGTCATGTGACATTGAAAGTAAGTAACGATAAGGCTGACAGAGCCTGGTAAACAATGGCCCAAGCTTTTGGTTGAAGTGTAGCCTTGAGATCTCATTTTATCTTTACAGATTGCTGCTCAATAAATTCATTGACCATCAATCTGAAAACCTAATCTGTCAATTGTAAACTGTAAAGCATCAATATCAGACAATCATGGATTCCATGGATATAGATTCCCCTACGGAAATACCTCAAGTGGATGGAGAAGCCGAGGTAAGCTAATGTCATATCTGAATCCAAGCTCTCCTGGTAGAGAAGTTGGCGGAAATTTCAAGTGAAACAGTATCTCAATCACTTGCAAGGTCTTGCTTGAATTGACATATCTCTAGTCTTCGACAAATGCTGGAATTCCATCCGAAGCCCCAGCATCAGAACCTAAAGACCCAAAACCTACGGCCCCCAAATCTAAGATATCGAACAATGCGCCTGGTTATAGATACAAGTATCCAGAGGCCGCTCCGACGCCACCTGGTGTTGACGACGACAGATGGAATAAGATATACGTGGCTGCAGATTCTCGATTCTATAACAGAGCCAAGAAGAATGCGGCTGAATCCAGAAAGATCAGACTGACTGGCGAGACTTATCAATTAGCACTCAGAATTCTGAAGGAGAGGGACGAGAAGGAAGCCGAAGCCGTGGCAGATTTGGCTGCTGGTATCGCACCGCCCCCGAAAAGAACGCCAAAGCCGAAAGCTCCACCAAAGATGCCAAAAGCTCCATCTACAAGCTCTCGAGACGGCACACCGGGTTTCAATGATAGGATTTCTTTAAGCATTTCCGAGCAGATCAAGAGTGAAGGCCGTGCTCGTAAAGCACTGCCATACTCTAGCCATGGATCTCCTGGGCCATCTGCTGCTAAGTATAGCAGTCCTGCGCCGTCACAAATCAAGTCGGAAAGAGCAGAGAGACCAGGACCGAAGAAGAAGGGCACCGCCGCTACTATCAAAAAAGTTCGACCGAAGGGGGCCAAACCGGAAGGTAAAATTTATTTATCACCGCAACATTAACTTAGTACTCATATAGACTAACACATTTTCAAAGGCCCTACAGAAGCTAGATCACAACGTAACAGCGCCACTCCTGGACTGAGAACTGGCCCATCTGACGACGATGACAGCAATGACGGCGGCGAATATTGTATATGTCGCGGTCCTGATGATCACCGCATGATGATATTCTGCGAAGGAGGTTGCGAAGACTGGTATCACTGCTCATGTATCGATGTTAATGTCGAGGACGCGAAAGAACTTCTGGATCGATTTATTTGTCCGAATTGCAGCTCTGATACTGCATTTACTACCTGGAAGCGAATGTGCAGATACCATAATGTTGATGGATGTCGGAAGGCTGCTCGTGTTAGCGAAGTTCCACCTAGCAAGTATTGCAGTGACGAGCACGCAACTGCTTTTTGGGAATTTGTTGCTCGAAAAGTTCGCTCCAATAAGAAACGTACTATGGGCGGTGCCTTGGGCGAGAAAGAATTCGGAGCGTTGTTGGATTCATGTAAGACAGCAGCCGATTTTCACGCCTTTGGTTCGAGACCGAAGTTGCCAGTACCTGAAGGCTACGACCCAAGTCAGCCATTGGGACTCAACTATTTGCTCCCTGAAGAGGAATCTACCATAAGTAAAATCAAGGCCAGACGCACAATCATTGAACAACGCATTGAAGGATTCAAAACAGCCCAGAAACTTTTGATCATGATGAACCGACGCGCCAAGATCGCACAAGAACATCCAGATGTCGATGTCAAAGAGATATGCGGGTACGACAATCGCCTCGCCCTGAACGAAGATGAGCTCGGTGCTTGGTGTGCAAGTGATGAAGGCAAAGGTTATCTCGCTATTGGGGTTCTTGGTCCTCGTACCGAGGAAACAAAGCATATTGGCGAAACAACTCCACATTCTGGTCAAGTCATTCCTGACACAGGAGACGTACCTGATGAACTAAAGAATATGTGCATCAAGCCTCTCAAGAAATGCAAGCACAACGGCTGGCGTGGTAATCATGCAGAGCAGTATGCCTACGCAACCAAGACTCTGACAGAAGAATTAGCAAAGTTAAGCCAGCAAGAGGCCTCTATTATTGATGATGCCGAGACTAGAGAAGCCACCAAGGATTATAATGCCGAGAATACGGTAGAGCAACTTTTTTAAACAGTAGTTGGTTTCTTTTGTTAATTTGCGATGTATTGGCTCTTGGCTTCTATCAAGGCGTATGTGTGGGATACCTTAGAAAGGCGGGGTTTTAAGATTCGGTATGCATGGTATGGACAAATGGGGGACATCAATAGGATGATTTGATTGCCGCTCTAAGTTTGAGGGCAGTATGGTACATATACCCGGATGGAGTTTGCGAATATCAAACAATCTTAATATACTCATAATTTTACTGATCATTACAGCGACCGAGATGACGACACATGTGATTTGAACCATCATTGTTAAAACTATGATATTTCAACCCCAAACCCATCATCCCCCTCATTCCTCACCCACCCACCCAAGCACTCTCTCACCTCTTCCTTAACCGTCCTCCTCCCCTCCAACATCTCACTCTCCTTCAAATCTCTATAACTATCCACCACCAAACATTTCCTCATCCTTTCCACAATCTCCTGGCCCCGATCTATCTTTGCCATCGCAGTCATCGCAGCCAAAATTTCAATCCCCAATTTCCATCCCTTCCTCCTACAAACTCTACTCGCTCCTCTGACGTCAAATTGTTTTCTTCCCTGCAACGCACCATTTACCAGCGTTTCCCCGCCTATCTTCCCATCCCCGAGAATCCAGGACGTGGAGATATTGCTACTTACGTATTCTGGTACTTTGGCCTTGAGCTCGGCGTTTACATATCTTCTCGAATACACGAATTCCCTCGCCGTAGTTTTGATACCTATTACATAGAATCCGTAGCCGGTTTTCGTCAAGCTCGATTTAACAATCTGATTCTGTAAATCCGCCAGACGTGTGCTAAAACATCGCGTAAATCCACTCTGGCTATATTGCGTTTCGGGGAGGATCAGAGAATCCAAATACATGTTTTGAGGGGAGATGAAAAGGGAGGTGAGAGAGCTGAGGAGTGATGTGTATTGGGTGGTAGCTAGCTTATCGGAACAGGATTTGGAGAGGGTGGCGGGTGCGTCGGGACGAGAGGGCTTGCGGCGCACGTAGCCGAGAAGTTGGAAGTTGGCTCGGCCTGGCAATTCGGGTTTCGTGTTTTCATCTTCTTCTTTTCCTGGATTTGATATGGGAGGGGGTAGTGCCCAGGGTGTGGGATCATCCTGTGCAGCCATGGTGAGTTCCATGCTGGCATCGCCGCAAGGTGCTTCGGAACAGTACATGAATAGTTTGATGTGTGGCTTTAGTTCGAAAGGCTGGAATGAAGCTGGGGTTATGGTATCCGGGGAGCGGTGTTGTAGAAATTGTGAGGGGATAGAGGGGGTGGAGAGAAGGGAAAGAGCTTCTTGGAGGAGAAAATGGTTGAGGGAGCGTAGACAGAGGATTTCGGCGTGCCAGTCGTGGAGGACGTTGCCCTGTGCCTGGGGGAGTTTGGAGTGGGGGAGACATTTCATGCCAGTTCTGCGACAGTGAGGAGAGGAGGTTAGGGAGATGAACAAACAGCGAAAATGTATCTTGAGTGCGATTCGTGAAAGAAAATATGAGGATTCTAATGTGCTAAGAACGTGACTTCACATTTCGCACTTTCGGCAAGCCTCCAGCATAATGTAGAGGTAGATAAAATTCCAACAGCAAGAAATTGACTCACGCAAGAGCAAGACAAGTCAATCCTTTCTCACCTACCTGAAATCAGCCTACCGTATCCAACATAATATTCGATATATACACATCAAATCAAAATGAGAACTCCCACTCCCCTCCCTTTTTTCGAAAAATAAACCTACCAAAAGCAACAATCCCACTTAACGGAACCCATTCTCTAACCCCGACTCCCCTATTCAACGGTTTTCTCTTCGTAGGTAATTCATCAAATTGTTTTAATACCACATTTGCGATATCATCTCCTGATGGTTCATTCATGATATCTAGACCTATAGTTATCGTCGGGAATAAATACGACTGTAACAATTAGCTGCCCAGTACAGTACTTTGCAGTAATTTTCGTGTGGGGTTGAACTTTGCGGAAAAGAGTCTGAATTGATTGGTGGAATGCTAGTGAATCGCGTGTGGTGGGGGATCCGAAGATCTAAGGGGATGTCCGGTTTAATTGCCGCGTTGAGGAACGACTGGAAGTAGATGCATGGGATTTGTACAATGTTTATAATTGCTTATGCATGATTTGTTACTGTTAATCTTGATTTTGAGTCTTTTATATTCCCTTGTACTAAGTACTATATAACTATACTAATTATTAAAGGGTATTAAGACCTCACCATCATTTCCATTAAACCTTTCTTTCGATCACTTCATCTTCAAGACTTTACGAGCTCATCTACCCCGCATCTAAAACTTCACCCAAGCTCTCTTGATATACTCATTTCATTACCTTTACCTCAATATAAACTACACAGTATCTAATCATGGATCCTAACCAAATGAACATTCCCCCGATGAAAGATCTCACTATCGACAATATTACCGAAAATACCGTTAGGATAAACTCTCAAGGACAAGATGAACGTCTCACATATGTTATGGAAAGACTCGTTACCCATCTTCATGATTTTGCCAGAGAAACACGATTAAGTACCAAAGAATGGATGGCTGCATTGGATTTCTTGGTGAGGGTGGGACAGATATCGAGTGACGTGAGACATGTATGTATATCTTATTCTGACCCCAGCATCATCAGTCACGACCAAGATAATTAACAAAATTGAATAGGAATTCATCCTCCTATCAGATATCCTCGGGCTCTCCCTCTTAGTCGACGCAATTGACCATCCCAAACCCCCCGCTTCAACCGAAGGATCCGTTCTCGGACCCTTCCACACCCACGATGCCGAAATCATGGCATCCGGAGACAAAATGTCCCATGACCCCAAAGGAGACCCATGCATCGTTCTCTGCACCATAAAAGACGTTTCCGGAAACCCCATCCCAGGTGTCAAGATCGATATATGGGAGACCGATTCCACTGGTCATTATGATGTACAACATGACATTCGAGATGGACCTGATGGGAGATGTATCATGAAGAGTGATTCCAATGGAGACTTTTGGTTCAAGGCCATTGTACCTGTTCCCTATCCGATTCCGCACGACGGGCCTGTGGGTCAGCTTTTGAAATTGTTAAAGAGACATCCTTGGAGACCGGCGCATATGCATTTTATGTTTCAGAAATCTGGTTGGGATCATCTAATTACGTTCGTATCCTCGTTTTCCCATCTGGTAACAGGTCTGTACTGACATACGTTTGCTTAAGTGCACTATATCTTCGTGGCGACCCATACGAGTCTTCCGATGCAGTATTCGGGGTTAAACAATCACTCATCGTAGATTTCGAACCCGCAACCGCTGATATTGCAATGAAGTACTCGGTGGCTGAGGGTTCAAAAGTGTTGAAACATAATTTTGTTTTGGTGAGTGAGAAGGAGAGTGAAGAGCTGAGAGATAAGAATGCGTTGAAAGCTCTGAAGGCACTAGGGATGAAAGTCAAGTTGTTGGATCATTTACCTGTGCCGGATCTTGATTGAACTATTGAGATCTGATTTTTGCATTCTGAGAGGAGAGAATTTTCAATATTGCAGGACAAGATAAAGATCCATAAATTGGTTTGGTATACTTGAGCGGAGAATAGTTTGAGTGTTTAGAAATCAATTGAACATTCCAAATTCCACTCCAATATTAACGAGGGAGGAAGGAAACTTTCAATATTCAAACACAATGCACACATCAAAGTTGAAGCATCGATTAAAACAACCCCGAACTATCCACACAACATGCAATATCGTCAGTTCGCCACACAAAGGGTAGTTTACGCCTCCAGAATCTCATCTCGTCACAACCTCACAACCGGTAAATACAACAAGTGATTCCACTTTCAGCTAGGTTACTTACTTAATTCACATCGCATGAAGTATAATCTCTACCACCTAGCAGTCAGCAGTCAGCGGGCACCTACCTACTCGGGGACCACTCCCCTCGGTCATGCGAACATGACCGCGGAACATCCGATAACTACTACTTTGAGTTTGGTTCGGAGTATGCGATTTGCAACAATAGATTTTGGGCGGCCGGGCGAGGAAATGAGAGGTTTAGATGGGTCGATGGTGTGTTTCTCTGGGAATCAGTTATGGGATGGATATTCGGGGACTAGATGGATGAGTGAATGAGGCGAGGTGTTGCATAAGAACTAGGGAGGGTTGCGATGGGATGGGATGGCGTGGCATGGCTGAATTTAGACGGTGTTGGGTTGTGAGATGAGATAAGATGGACTGCAACTCGGAAACATAGTATAGTGGTGTCGAAGTCTTTGTTGAGTTCATTAGTTCATTATTTCATGTGATGTGATGTAAATGTAGCAGGATAGTCCACTGCCGCTTCGAATTTGTGAGCTTTTGTGCTCAAAATGGAACTCGAGTGACTTCTCAGAAAATACCACCGAGATTTTTACTTTACACATTCATTCAATCGATATATAGAAATGCATCGAGTCTACGCTTGCTATGTATGCAGTAAAATTCATTTTATATCGGAAAGTTGAGGATTCAGTATACCATCCATATGATCCATACCATACCACAATATCAACCACGAGCGAATGGGTTACATTCATTTCTATTATTTATTCGTTCATACTTAACTCGAGTATATTTCGAATAGCAGTTAAGTCAACCAATTAAAGTAAAGTTACTGGAATGGAAGGTTTGTTGCAAGTCTGAAAATCAAAGATTGGTGTAGAATCTTTCTCTGATGCGGGTAGAATCTATCTACAACTTATATAGATACTCTTCCTGGGAGAACTCCGAACTGATATCAATCAAAGTAGAGGTCCTGAAGTTTTGTTGCATATCTGAAGAAGACTTCTCAAGACTTCTCCATTATGGGTAATAAATAACTTGGAGTTTTGTTTTGTTGCATATCTGAATTTTGAACACATTTTGAGGATTGACAATATCGAATATGGGCTCATTGAATAAGGAAACTCTAACTCTGAGTAGAGTTGTCAAAGTTTTGTTGCATATCTGAATTTGGAAGAGAATTTGATAATTGATGATATGGATTATAGGAGTGGGAGTGATGGTGATGGTGTAGTGTGGTGTATGGTATAAAGTATTGGTATGAAGGTACTGGTATGGTGTACTAATATGTTAAGACGAGGACGATGAGTTTAATAAAATGGGAAGTTTATCTAGATAGATAGGAAGGGAGGAATATTTACTTGTGGTGATGATATAAGGTAATAAAAAGAGGTCATTTGAATGTGTTTGGATGAGATGGAAAGTAAGATCTTACTAGTTACCTACTTTACTCGTAAAAGGATGAATGAATTTCGGGAGCATTTGGGGGGATTGGGTAAATAGACAGAGCTTACCTAGTCCGGCCTGGCCCACTCAAAGTGGCCCCTATATGTCATATATATCCTAAAGATGAGGAGGCACTTGCATCAAACAGCACAAACACGTTTGTAACCAAACTGGCCTGCTGGCCCAATGGTAAGGCGCTTGACTACGAACATACGCAGGGATCGAACCTGTATGTGGACGCATCAAGAGATTGCAGGTTCGAGCCCTGCGTAGGTCAACACCCTTTTGGAGTTCTTGTTTGTGATGTTATGGGGAGGAGGAAGTTTTTTTTTCTTCACGGGGGATTAGGAATTATTTTTTGAGCGGGAATTTTGGGTGAGAGGAGGGTTGGTGGAGATGTTGGTGGGGTATTGGTGGGGTTTTGGTGGGTGGGCGCGATTAACCGATTCTTTTCCGAGTATCTTATAATCCTCATTTTCTTTTCAGACTTTACAGTATGTACTAATAATCTTGATGAAAATTGTACAATGAAGTGCTACAACATCGTAGTTAAGTGCTTTTGCTATTGCTCTAGCAGATTGGTGATATTAGTCTCTTCAAGTTGGGATAGTGAGTTTTTTGTGTATCATTCTCTCGTCTCTATGGATATTCGGGTTTATAAGGGGTGCACTTGGATACGGAGTTGTATGTACAGTGCTCACTCGGGATACTAAAGGGGCAACTATTCTTTGTATCGAGAACTTGCTGGTGAAGTTTTCGCTTTTTGATTGCAATGAGGTTTGATATCTCTGCGTTCATATAATGGTTTGGTAATTTGGTAGAAATTATATGGTCTGATCTGCGAAGGTATTCGGGTTATATCCTGTATCCTACTTTAAAATACCGCTTGATGTTTCCATTAGTTTGGATTGCTGTTTGATAATTAATGAGCTGTTCTTCATTTTTTGGACTTCTTTTGAATACTGAAGTCTGAATTGCTTTGGTTTCATGAACATTTTTGAGACGTTGAGATGTTCGAGATGTTGAATCGATTTGAGAAATTTAGTTCGTTTGAAAGACCGTGTTAAATGCAAATATTGGAAGATATCGAAGGATTATAGTCCGGACTTTTGGAGGCCTTGATATCACTCCCCCATTATCTACACCTTTCTTTCCCTCTATCTACTCTTTTCTTCCTGTCTTTTTGTCCCTCGCTACTCTCACGCTCCTACACTCTATTCATTACGGCCCATTCTCTCTTGACTTCTTTCTCTGCTAGGACTTTCCCTCTTCTCATCTCTTCCTCCTTGGCTTTCTCGATGCCCTCCCGATATAATAATATAAACCTCATTGTATCCCTTCTAATTCCACATCCATCTAAGTCTCCAACTCTAACCCTACTCATTTTCTCTTTCTCTTTATCCTCTTCTTCTTGCCATCCTCTTCCTTCTCCCCTCTCTAATATAAATTGCCGTTCTCATTACCAAAACCACTTTCAATTCCACACTTCCTAGCTTGAGGCCCTCTACTTCTATATATCCCTTCACCACGAAGTATAGTACACTATACTCGTATACTAGGGAAACCTTTCACTCTTACATATCATTATCATTATCAGCTCATTCAATCCTAAGACTGAATCTACTACCTATAGGCAGGCAAGCAGAAGTCAGGAAAGGTTTTCAAACTCAGCCCTCTAACCTATAATCGAGGCTTCTTAGTAGTTCATGATCGACATTGTCGATTCAGATATGCAACAAATGTTTTGATAACTCTACTCGGCGGAGCTTCAGCTGCCTTATTCAACAAGCCGATAATCTATATTATAATCGATACTATAACGATACCAAGACCTACACCAATACCAACACACCTTTCTTTGCTAGGTATTCCTCCACATCTCTATTCCTCCACACCATAATTTTTCACAACAGATCACAGACATACCAACCAAACAACCCCAACCCCAACCCCAACCACTAACATTTCAACTTCGCACTTATATACATACATACTAAATCTCAGAATATCATATCCAATACACTAATCCGAACAATACTCGTAATCCAATCCAAACATCGTGATTCCACTACTCGAGTACCGTACAATATTCGAATTTTCTTTTCAAATCTCAAAAAAAAAAAACAATTGAATTGTTTTCAAATATAAATTCATTATTTCAAATTATATTTAATGATTCAATTGAAATAGCTTCAATATTTCTGATATACGGTATTGAATATTTAAATATCAAAATAATGTACTCGAGTAATGTTGAGATATATTGTATATTAAGGAACCATTGAGAATACCTTATTGTTGGATGGACTGTAGTCTGGATTATTGGATGGGATACCTTGGTACTGATCTATGGGTATTATATTATAGCAACAGTATTAGTATATATAGGTAGGTAGTCATCAGTCCCCCTCTCTTCAGTATCAAGACTATTTTAGGGTGCAAGACGTGAACAGGGAAGATAATTCGGCTGATTGATTTTCTGTGTGTAGATTCATGATTGAGAAAATGAGGCACGCAAAAAGCTATTCAATTACTGCTAATCTTTCATTCGATATCTGAATAGAAGAGATTCTTTGGAATACCCAAAGACCCTCGGTATAGGAATGTAAAGGAATTAGACGTATGAATATAGACCAACCTCCTCATCACACAAAGTAAAAATGTAGCAGAGCACTTCATACTAGCTCTATACCTCAAAAATCCACACCATGAAGGTTCCCCCACCCCTCCATCTGCGCCATTCAAACCAATATTCATCGTCAATATCATGATTCAACCAAACGCCATATCCATAGGTGTTGTACAATGTCCAGTTCCATTTCCATTTCCAGTCCTGAATCTCAAAGACTTCCACCAGGCATCAACTTTGTTCCACTCTTTTTGATATCTTCTTTCCTCTGTTGCATCTCCTGCATTAATTTGGCTTGTTCGTCTATCTTTCCACTGCGATTCTTTCGAGCGGCTTCTTCGGCTTCGACCCAGACTGTAGAGATGGAGGTTAGCTTGGTTCTGTTTAGAATTCTAAATGCTGTGCTTCAATCTGTAACAACCCTCTGATATTATTTTCCATAGCTGGCAGCCATTTTTCAATAGTTCCCCTCAAAACTCCAATCCCTTCCCCCAGACAAACAAACAAATAAAGAAACAAAAACCTACTCGGCCTATCGCTCTTACTATACTCCTTCAACCTCGACACAAAGTTATCAAAATCCTCTTGTTTCCCCACTCGATTCTCCAAACTGCGTTTTTGAAGTTCGGGATTGTATTTTAAGAAGAGTTCTTCTTCAGTTGGAGAGACATAGTAGATCAAAGCTGGTCCGCCAACGCAACATGTAACACCGCTGAAGAAAAGTTAGCTTATATTGAAAGATTAGGGACCTGAGGGAGGAAGTTGATCAGGAAGAGGGGTAGGTAATTGGGAATCCAAGGAAGGGAATAAAGGGAACCTACGCAATTGCCATTTTGCCAAACATGCGCCAATTTGTTGGTTTAGGTGGCATATTTGCAATTGTAATTTATTGTATTCTGATGTGAGAAATCTGATATAATTGATAAAACTGTGGTCGGGAAATTGTAATGTTTGGTTTCGTTCGGTGTTGATGAGATCAGAGGCTGTTGATTTGTCGATGACATGATGATTTTCGTTTCAAAGCTGCAAAGCTGGTTGTGGCTGTGTTTTTACTGGGGAATTGGTGGCTGGTGTGGCGTAAGGAGAGACAAATCGGAGGGGAGGAATTTCATAAGCAGATAAGGTGAGATGATTGGGTTTTAGATGATGCTGGGATGCTGGGATGTTGGGATGTGAAGATGCGAAAATGCTGGGATGGGTGGACTTTGTGAACCTTCATATTCATGCCATAGTATTGTACAGCAATGTGCTTACTGTATGCTTATTCCTCTTTGGAAGCCAGCTTTAGGTGTGAATGTGAATCTGAGTGCTGATGGTGTCCCTTTAAACTTTAGAAGTAATTAGGAGTCAGATCATCTAGTAAATGATACTCGAGTATCCATCTATCTATCTAGGTATTTCATCCATATCTCAAAGAAGGTTCAAGTAGTCAGACTCTTGCCCTCGGACAATATTGATATCTACTTAATTAGTAGCTACCTCTCAAGAAGTTCAGACGGCCAAGACATCTCACATACAACACGTCGTAATGCTGTTACAGACTTAACTTTCTTCTTGAAGTCCAGTTCCGCTCTAAGCGCATGGCATATCAACATATCAACACTCCCTGTCCTCCTCATCAACTTCATGCATTCATCTTGAATTGATGAGTGATGACGAACAAACCGAGTCTTGAATCTCGATACTAGCTGAAATCAAGATCATACATCACAAGACCTCTTCTGAACACAAGATATTGAAATGTAAACTCCGCCTCACAAGTTCACAACGCCATGTTTCTTATATTCTTCTTGGTATAAGTGGATCTTACGAAGTTACTGATTGTAATGCGATAACCAATCATTCTCTAACTCGGACCTGACTACATAGTAACCGGAAAACCCCCTTGTCATATATGTAACGCGCGAGGAATTGTTTTTGGTAAAAATTGTTATGCATAAACTATTTTATACTAACAAGGGAATATTCCAAGTACAGTACCTACCCGTATGTACTCTCCTGACTCCTGAGATGAATGTTGTTTTGGATAAGCAAGTGGTTTTCATTTCTTCATCAACAAGAAGTACAAAGCCAAGAGATCGGAATATCGGAATATTTGAATATAGAACTCCACCAAAGCCCCATCTATTATTACCAAACAGCACAAATTCAAATATTTGCGACAGGCGCAGCAGCAAATTGCAGTTCTGCAGTGAGTGAGTGATACGATTATTCAATATCCCACCCGTCGTCGTCGATAGATAGATAGCATACCTTCCATACCTTCCCTCCCTCCCATATACCTAGGTATCCCATCCCTATCCCATCCCATCCACCTGATTAGCGCCCCTGCCCCCACTCCGCATTCTCTGAGACGACCCCCCGGTTCAGCCGTTTTGTAGGCTTTGAATGACCTTTTACCTTTTTAACTTCTTTCAATCCTCCTGTCGAAGTATTTACAACTTAACAATTGCAATACAAAGATCTCTTACTTTCAAGATAGAAAGATCGATACCAGAGCCCCCAATTCAATCTTTTTCACCTTCTCATAGATTCACTTATTTGCATCCGAGGCGCAGGAATACCGAGACAATCCTCAAACTTGAGCTGCTGTATTGTAACGACAATATAACAACAATCTTCAACCTCGAACAAAGTTAATTCCTTCCGAAACCCCGATCATTCAACCCCTTACAACAGCGATAATTACCATTCTTTTGATTTTCAGACAATTTTGCGAGCTCATCGACTTTTTTGAAATAAGAAAATATAAAACTCTTAGGGAATTGCCTTCCATGGATTGATTGTTTTGGGAGTTGTTACTATTTGTTAAGTTTTTGCGCCAAAGAATCCAAGGGATAGGGGAGTCGCAGCTAGATCGATCAAGAAGGTGAGATAGTAGGAAATAATCATGGCATATGATCAGGGTTATTATGAACAGCCCCAGAGGTCATATAATGGATGGGCTACTCAAAGACCAGGCGCAGCTCAAGGATATCAACAACCTCCCGCACAACAATATTCACAACAACAATATGAGGATCATGGTCAGGATGGTTTTGGATATGAGAATTTCGATAATGGATATGGTCAGGACTATAATGGTGGTTATCAGGATATGAATGGTGGAGGAAGAGGAAATGTGAATGGAGAGAGAAGAGGTGGTTATGCTCCAGACATGAATGGACGTGAGAGGGGATATCCACCAAATGTGAATGGGGAAGCTAGAGGTTATCCATCATCGAATCAAAATTATCCACCACAACAAGAACATTATGCGAATGACAGGGGTCGGATGCAACCTAGAGCAGGTGGACCTGGTGCAGGTGGTCCAAATGATAGAGATGGACTAATGCAAAGACCTCCGGATAATGCTGTTTATGGTGAGCCACAGGGAAGAGGATACCCTGCAAATGATGGTCCTGTGAATGGAAATGGTAGGCCAATCGATGGATCTGTGAGGCCTAGACCTGGACAAGGACGTAAGTGAAAGAAGGATATTTATGTCATGAAAGGTTGTATTGACTTTGTTCTAGAACAACGATCTCGGAAACCTTTGGTAACACTCCCTAAATCACCAGAAGCTGGGTCATTGTCATTTGATAGCCCTTTTCCTACATTTCCTGGAGCACGAAAGAAGACTGCAATGTCCGAAGAAGAGGAGATTACCAGAAAAATGGGTGCAATAGATATCTCAAGCCCTCCCCCTTCTAAACGACCCGGAACAGCTGGAAGTAAAGGAAGCAATGATAATTTTGGACCAAAGAGAGTTATTCCGACAGATAACTATGGACGACCTTCAATGGATAGTCAAAGGAGTGCATCTAGAGGAGGATACATGCCTCAGGGACCCCCCCAAGGAATGCCAGATCAACGAAGAGGCCCACCACCGAGGGGAATGACACAAGGCCCTCCTAGACAAGACTTTTCGGAGAGAAGAGGTCCACCCCCAGTTCAAAGATATGGTGGTGCACCGAGGCAAAATGGCTATGGAGATCATGGTTATGATCAATACGGAAATCCCATGTCGCCAGGTCGAGATGATCAAGAGAATTTTGGTCCTCCCCAACGAAGCATGACTATGCCAGATAATCCCGGACCCATGGGAATTGCACCACCCGCCTCTTCAATGGGTGGACCAGGAATGAGTGCACCGTATAATGGTCCCATTGGACGTGGTATGCCCGTTAGACCCGCCACAGCTACCGGATCAAGACTACCACCACAGAGAACATACCCAAATCAACAGCCAGTTCAATCACCACCTCCCCAACAGCAATACCCACCACAAAACGATTATTCAAATGGTGCTTACGCCGATCATAATCCAGATGAAAGTCTTAGCACATTTTACGATGCATATTATGAAGCACCCCCCCAACCACCAATGCACAATCGAAATCTATCAAATACTTCGGAAATGCCGGATTTCGATTCGGCTCCACAACAAATTTTGCACAGAAGAGGTACTTCGATCGAAGCTCATATTCAACCCGGAGCCGGATCTGGACCTGGATTTGATAACATGCAAGCAGATGGTCCTTTGGAGAGAAATGGAAACCTTCGTCAAGTCAAACCTGTAAAATCTCAACCGGATTTCAGAGCTCAAGCTCAGGCCCAGACAGCGATTTTCGAGATGGCAGGGGATGCGCCACCAATTCCTAGCATGCCGCAGCAAGGTTATCAAGATGGCTGGGCTCAGCAAAATGCTCAATATAATCAATATCAAGGTCCGCCACAAGATCAAGGGTACGACCAATATCCTAATCAAGCACCAAAGTTTCAACCACCGCCGAGAAGTATGTCTGCAGCCCCTGGAGCTAGCCGTGGACTTCCCAATGGCCCAAAATCTGGATTTGGAGGTTTACCGAATAGCCCTTTGCCTCAGAGTGGTGGTTATCCTGGTCCCCAGAATGGAGGTTTTCAAGGCGGTCGTCAAAATAGTCTTCAGAAGCAAGGAAATCCAGAAGGTGGTCTGCCTCCTCATGCTCCGCCAGTTCGTGCTGGTTTGATACCCAATTCTTTTGCTCAACAGCAGCAGAATATCAAACCACCACCTGTGCGCAATTATGGCGGTGTTAACCCCCCACCTCAAGCAAATACCCCTGTTCAAGCACCCAATAGCGTCTCTCCTGCAGGTTCTACTCTCACAAAGGTGCCCGCACAACCAGTAACTCAAGCCGAAATTGATCGGTTAAGATTGAAGTACAAGAATGGCAATCCGAACGATAACGAGGCCCCTCTACTCTTTGTGAAAAAATTAGTAGAGGCTTCGGATGTTTTGGTTGCGCCCCTTGCTGATCAGCGAGTACGTAATAAGGCAAGAGAAAAGTATGTTTTGGAAGCTACTAAAGTCCTCAAGAAATTGAGAGAGGCCCAGAATCCAGACGCAATGTTTTATTTCGCAGATTGTTACGGTCGCGGCGCCCTTGGCCTCGAAGTCAGTGAGAAAGAAGCGTTCACTCTTTACCAATCAGCCGCAAAACTTGGCCATCCACAAGCCGCATATCGAACTGCAGTATGTTGTGAACTCGGCAATGAAGAGGGAGGTGGTACACGTAAAGATCCTCTAAAAGCAATCCAGTGGTACAAACGCGCTGCTACCCTAGGAGACACACCTGCCATGTACAAAATGGGCATGATTCAGCTCAAAGGACTTTTAGGCCAACCAATCAATGCCCGCGAAGCCGTGGTTTGGCTCAAACGAGCTGCGGAACGCGCTGATCCTGACAATCCACACGCCCTTCACGAATTAGGTCTTCTATACGAAGCACCACAAGGTCAAGATACTTCTCTAGTTCGCGATGAAGGCTACGCTTTTCAACTCTTCCAACAAGCTGCCGATCTCGGCTATAAATTCTCACAATTCCGTCTGGGTCAGGCTTACGAGTATGGCCAATTTAACTGTCCGATTGATCCTAGATCTTCGATCGCATGGTATTCAAAAGCAGCGGTTCAAGAGGAACATCAAAGTGAATTGGCGCTTAGTGGTTGGTATCTGACAGGTTATGAGAATATTTTGCAACAGAGTGATATGGAAGCTTATTTATGGGCGAAGAAAGCTGCGATGGCGAAGTTAGCAAAGGCGGAATATGCTATGGGGTATTATAGTGAGGAGGGAATTGGTACGGCGAAGAGCTTGGAGGATGCGAAGAGGTGGTATTGGAGAGCTGCTGGTGAGTTTTATTCTTCTTTTTCTTGCCATTTTTATTTTCATTTCGCGTTTCTGTTCCTAGGATTCATAGCTAATACGAAATAGCGCAAAACTTCCCCAAGGCTCGCGAAAAGCTCGAGGAACTTAAACGGAGTGGTGGCAAACAGAGTAACAATAATAAGGGTAGAGAAAAAATCTCGAGATCTAAAGGCGCAAATCAGAAGAATAACGAGGAATGTTCTGTCATGTAGACAGATATTCTTTCATTCACATTTGATGATGAAGGGGTAAGGGGGGGTGTATGTTGGGAGAGGATGAAAGGGGTTGGTGATTTCTATGGGATTGGATGAATGGACGATATCGAGCTGAAAGACTGGAATATGAAAATGGAATATGAAAATGGATGAATAAATGGAGTTTCTTTTTGATATCAGGGCATAGCATTTGAAGCGTATTTGGATCGTTGGATGCATGGATGGATTGATTGATGGATGGATGGGTGGGAATGATTTTTGGGCGTCGAATGAATTGGATTGGATTGGATTGGATTGGATGCATGGAATTGCATATATCGATTGATCAATCTTATCTGGAAGGATAGCTATGTATGTATTTGTACTGGGTGGGTGTATTGCTTATGCTGTGGAAGGGGGGTGGGTGTGAAGTGAAAGGGAGTCGAGGAAGTAGATTAGGGAAGGGGGATTGAGGGGAGCGGGGGGAGGAGATGAGGGATGAATTGAGGGAGGAGATGATATGTATGTATGACATGTACTGTACGTATCACACACAATAAATACTCTGATAAAAATTTCATATAAAATAAGGTGTTTCTGGTCTGTGTTGAAGGTATGTATGTATATATGTATGTATGTACAGTATATATCAATCTATATATAAAATAGAAGAATACCACACACCTACCTACCGGCTCACCTACACCTGCTCACACACTCATACACTCACTCACACATCTACTCACACCTCTACCTACCTATCTACCTATCTACCTAGATAAATCCCCTAATCCCAATCCCAATCCCATTCTTTATCCCAGTCTTAATTTTAACCATCTTCTCTCCCTCCAACCATCCTCTCTCCTCTCTCCAATCAAGCACGAGTTACGAGTTATGAGGTGAAGAAGAAAGAAAAGAAAAAAAAAGAAACAGAGAAAAAGAAAAGGAGGAAATATGAAATATGAAAAAAGAATGAAACATGAATATGTCGATCCATCTGTCTGGTTACTCGAGTATAGGTAGGTAGGTAGGTATGTATGTCTGTCTTGTCTGTTTATATATATCTATACACATTATACAGTCACATCTATCTAGTCATGTATATCACACATCCTACATCCATATACTTGAGTACATATACATCCATATCACACATCCATAACGCACATCACACAGCCCAGCCCCATAACGCACATCACACACTACACATCCACAACATATATTATACATCAAACGCACCACACACCACACACCATATATAACATACCACACCACACAGACAAGAAAGAACAAAGAAAATAAATATTGTTGAATTGTTCGAGACCTAGGTTTGTAGGTAGGTAGGCATTCGAGTACGAGTAGTATAATACAATTCCACCTTTCCCTCCCTTCACTTCAATCCACTTCACTTCACCTCGCTTCGCTTCACTACATCATCACCATCCATCCATGATCCATCCTATTGTAGATTTAGAGGGAATGAAATGAATAAGAAGGAATGAAATGGGATGAAATGGGATGAAATGAGATGAAGTTTTGATTTGTCTGTCCATTCATCCGATCCATCCATGCATTCAACCAAATCTACTTCATCGCATACACCCATCCATGCATCCATCCATCAATTCCTTCCATGCATGTATCTGTCTCATCTGAAACATGGATTTTGCAAGCCCACGCAAAAAAGCAAAAAGCCAAAAAAAAACCCCTCAATTCGTTCGCACCAAGGAAAATTCCCTATACCGTGTTCAAGTTCAAGTTCAAGTATTCTTCTAATTGCAAGAAAAGAAAGAATTTGTAAATCTGCCACGTTACTCTCAGAATCAGATTTTAGGAATGTCCTGTCGCTTACTTCCATTTTCCCATGAGTGTCTGTTGCAATTACTTAGAACCGTTCATTTAGTCGCTTATGTATATGATGGGATATTTATGCTTTATGATTTAATAGCATTCTCGACCTTTCCCTTAACATCATGACCCACCTCGGCCGCCTTATCGGCGAGGGGCTTGTTCTTTTCGCTGCGTTGATGTAAGAGGATACGAGTTACTTGGACGATTCCGACCATGCCGAGGAAGAAGTTGACGGTTGCGAGGCTTTGATTTGTTAGTTTCGTTCAATGTTCAAGGAGATTGGATATGATGTAGCGGCACGAAAAGAAAGAGGGATGGGAAGGGGAAATGAAAGAGGTGCATACAGGACGTTTCTTGGCTTGATGATTAAGCACCATCGGGTCCAGATGATACCGGTAGCAGTGAGAGCGGCGTTTTGGGTAAGAGAGAGCTTTTCGGCGGGACGAGCAAGATCGGAAATACCGGCTAAGACGAGTGCCCACTAGTTGAGGAGTTAGTTATTGATCGACTGTTAAGAGGAGAGCAATTTAAGACGGAGAGATTGGGTGGGACAGAGGAATAAGGCCGGGGGAGTGATGTTTAAAAGCTTGAAGAGACAGCGAAAAGTCCCTAAAAGTGGTTGATCGGGGCAGGGAGTGGGAAATGGATATACCTTCATGACAGGAGCCCTATATGAGAGAAGATTGTTAGCATAAGTTCATATCTTCGATTGCCTTTCCTGTGAATTCCAACTCCAATGTCTCCACATCATCCACTCTCCTCCGCAATTCGTTCCTTTTCCAGCACATATACTCTTCCTCCCATACCTCCACCATCTCTCCCTTCCCTCCCCCATCCACACCAACCAAGTTCCAAAGGAAAAAAGAAAGAAAAAAATCACCCCAACCTACCAAAAATGCACCGTCTTCAACCCAATAGGACTATCCCACATCCTCTTAAACCAACTAACCTGGGCCGTCGCCGTTGCGGCAGCCGCTTCGGTACTCTGAAATCTCTTTTGCTTTCCCGCAAAACGGGTTCGAGCAAAGGCATTTCTAATCGAGGAATATTGGCGCGCGGACGAGGAGCTGGAGGTGAAGAATCGGGATGCGGAGCTAGAGGACGAGGTTGCAGATGATGTGAATTTGGTGATGGCGGTAGGGTTGAAGCGCAGGGCGCGGGTGAGGGTTGTGGGCGACATTTTGGGGTGTAGGGCGGGGGTGTAGAAGTATGGTGTGGTGGTGTAGGTGCTGGGTATTTGAGGTTGGGACGAGGTGGATTGGATGGATATATCTGGATAGTGTTAGTGTTGATGTTCGTGTGGATTAATTTATTTGCCCTTAACATGGGTATCTCAATCCCTATCTCTTTGACCTTTGACCTTTCTCCTCCCGAGTATGTATGCGAAAGATGAAATTCCAAAACAAATCAAGAGGATATATTACTTACGATTCAAATCGTCAATTCGTATTGCAATTCAATGATCAATTAACTTAATCCAAACTAAGTACTGATATCCAGCTCTCTGGCTCGTCAAACTTTGTTGAACACTTTCTGTTGTGTCTTGATGTCGGAGTCCGTCCGGAGGGTGGCACGGGTGGCTGATGAAATTATGTTTGATGTGATATTGTGGCTGAATGAATGAACAAGGATAGAAAGTTACGGTAATCCAGACGGACTTTATATGCAATATCAACATCCATACGGATAGCTTCACAATATTATACCGCGCCTACAAAAGAAGGGAAGGAAAGGATAAAAGAGATTGTTTACCAAAGGGAACGAAAAGAAACATATCTACCAATATGTCGGCCAAATACGCATTCTCGCAGACCTTGAAGGAAGTCAGGTTTTTATTTTGTCAGACGGGGGCGCATAGTGATGCTACTAGGTATGATCTATTTTCTCCTCTTTCTTGTGGCATCCTCATACAATATTTCCTACTATTCCTCTCAAAAGATCGGATCTCTGTCAATTTTTGTTCTCTGTATTGTTCCTCTTCCAAAGATCAACATCTAATGAACCCCCCTCAAGATCATTCCTCGCAAGAACATACCCAACGATGAAAAAACATAATCCAAATACACCGATAATGTTGAGGGAGGCGGCTGGGACACAACCGAAGGTTTATGCAAGATATGAGTTTGGGAGGGAGGTTAGTGAGGATTTGGCTGGTAGGTGATTTTGTTTTGTGGTTTCTTGGGTTTTTGTTGTTGTTGGTGGGGGTAGAATGGAAAGAGGTGAGGATGGGAGGATGACGAGGAGGGGGTAGCTGAAGGAAAGGGGGAGGGAGGGGGCACGAGGTGGTGAAGGTATGGGGAGACAGAAAATAATGAATTCGGCTGGGGGTGTGAATTGAATTGCATTGGAATCAGAAACCGAAGGCACTCGAGAATGCGAAACTAGGGAAACATACAGAGGGGATTAAGAAGACCAATACTAACATCAACCCACCACAGGACTATCAGACAAAGAAATCGAAGAGAAAGTTACAGGATTAGTCAAGCAATAAGTTAAGTACGAATTACGCATTAGGAATTTTCAAATGAGTGTTTTCAAATCCGCATAGGAATAGAAAGTGTGGGGGCAAAGAAAGGGTCGTTGTACATATCCCGTGGATGAGATTGAGACTGGGACATGGTGCTACAATGAGCATTATGTGATGAACGGATGGAGACTGAGATATTTTCGAGGTGCACTTTTGGGAGTAGGGTTTGTTTGGTGAGATGTGAGATGTGAAGTGAAGTGCTGCTATTCATGCTGGATAGAGGTGGAATAGGAATAGGGATGGATATAAGTATATCTAATCTTCATCTGCATTGTTTTCTATTCAACCCCGCGAATCTGCACGAAAAATCTGGGGGACTCAAATCAATAAATCCTCACTGTCCCTCTCCCTCTCCCTCTCTCCCTCCACTCTCATATGCATCTACCTCCTCTTTCCTCTTTACCTTTTCACTTTTCCCTTTTCCCTTACAACTAATACTACAACACAAAAACCATCCTTCATCCATCTATCCCTCCCTCCCTCCCTCCATCCATCCATCCCTCCTCCATCACAATCCACATCCATCATCACAACCTTAAAAATACATCACAATCACATGCATCACATCCCCAAACGAAGAAAGTACTCGATTAGTATTATTAAACCCGACATCATTTTATATTTATACAGTCTCTACAGTTTCTACAATTCATACAGTCCATACACACCATCTAGACCCCCCATCCCCATCCCCATTCCCATACCCACTCCCGATCCCGAGTATCTACTACTAATAATAATTAATAACACATACATATACCGCTATGTAAGACTTACATCCCATACCGATTTCGCAGTTTGGGGTTGTATTTATGGTTATGGTGATGGCTATCGGTATTTAAGGCAGCTGGAATTTAGAAATGAGGACTTGAGATACCTAGTATTTTATCGCATTGGTTATTGGTTCGGACAGAGGCTTCTGTTTGTTTGTTTATTTGTTTATTTGTTTATTTGTTTATTTGTTTGTCTGAGGTACTACTATTTGATTGGTACTTCTTGGTTCTTGCTTGGTTCTGAGATATTGGATAGCATAACATCTCTATCTCACGACTGGATGATAGGATGATATTGGCTTGGATCTAGATACTCGAGGAAAAGGACATCACTGCATCACTGCATCACTGCATCTGCATGTGAAGTATTGGAGCAGTCTTACGAGTTAAAATTTACAATAGAACTTTAGAGCAGAGATCTAGAGTAGAGATCTATATTGTATTCCCCTCTATCACTTTTAATCTATAAAGCCATGTAATCATCCATCTAGCCATGTAAGCATCTAGCCATCTAATCTAAAACCACCGCTCAAATCTCGCTCGCAAATGTCTATTGTATGTATGTATGTATTGGTATCCCATGAATGTTTTACTTTTCTTTTCTTCCCATTCCCATCCCCATCCCTATGCATCTACAACTTGTTCAAAACCGCCTCGGCCCCAGAAACCGTCACTTCTCTTCCCGGCTCCTTCTCCGCATACACAATCTTCCCATTATCAATAATCAACGCATAGCGACCAGTACGTTCGCCCGCGGTCCATCCGAGCAGTTTAGAGAAAGCGCATTCGTTGTCGGAGAGGAATAGCTATGAGGGTTGAAGAGATTAGTTTATATACATATATATATATAGAATGGAATCGAGGGAAAAGATAGGGAAAATCGTAATCTTACAATATCTTCATTATGAATCCCATTAGCTTTTCCCCATGCACTCATGACGAAAGGATCATTATAAGCAATAGTAGCAACGATATCAACACCCTTCGCGCGCAGAGCAGGGAGATTGGTTATGTAGCCTGGTAGATGCGATACACTGCACGTGGGGGTGAAGGCACCGGGAAGGGAAAAGATGACGACTTTCTTGTTGGCCCATTCTAAAGGAGGGGTTAGTGAAGTGAAATGTGTGTATGGTTGGGAGGGGAGGGGAGGAGGGGGAAAGAACACACCTTTGGATGCGTGGTAGGTAATTGGCATGCCGCATGCTTTGATATCTTCATTCTCGGGCGTGGGTGCGATCCAGCCGAATTTAATGCCCTCTGGCAATGAATCACCGAGCTTTAGGCTTACTTCGGACATCTTGATATGTGTATGTATGAAGGTATGTGTTTGAATTGTGTGATTGCTTGAGAGTGACTGTAGAAGATTGAGGGTTGTAGATTGAAGATTGTAAATGGAGTTGTAGTTGCGAAGATGAGAATAGAAAGATAAAAGTAGTATCTAGAGCTCTCCCTCCTAATATATATATAAATACCTAGCACTCTCTCCCAACAGCTCCTACCTTATACATAGGTATTAGGTACAACACCGCAGCCGCACCCGTACTCGGAGCAGCCATTTGCTGTTCAAGCTTGTATCACCCCACCATTAGCTCCCTTCTAGAATATTCACCCCACTACCAGCCCGATTCCCTCATGCGATTTGTCCTTTTCCTCGGATAAGTATCCATAATATCCACTTTTCCATATCGATTGGGAAGTTTGGAGCAGGGATGCGCGTTTCTTTTGGGTCAGTAGTATTCAATACCTAGCTGGTTGGTGTTCAGGAAACTAGACTCTGATTTCAAAGGTGAGCAGTGTATTAATAATACGTCAGGTTGCTTGCATAATCGTGAGGTTCTAGATTGGGGGCTCTGGATTGGGGCTGACAGGATGATGGGACCTGGGTTTTTAGGATAATGGTTCCTGGTTTTTAGGGGGTGAGACTCCGTGAAAGTTAGTGCTATAAGGCTGTAAGGTTACATTGAGTCCTTTTATGGGATTCGGTATTTCATAATCCAGGGAACCGGGATTTCGGTGATTGAAGTACATTGAACTGCTTACTTTAATGAAGCTATTCACAGATAAGAACAAGAAAAAAAGGGTCAATTTGTCGGAGAAGGATTGTAGTGACTGTACTTGCGGATATCGTTACCCGCAAATGCAGTGAGATTTTGATAATGAAGGGGTAAAGATGGACTGAAAGATAAACATATATATCGGGCAAGAATGCATTTATTCAGTACACTACCTAAAGTATACAAAGAACTTCTCCCACTTTCCCTCTTTTGATACTTACCTACCTATACTTGAGAAACCCCAACGATCAAAGTCATCTAAAACTCAATAATATTTAACAATGGCATCATCAACGACCAAACCACCTGTTCCACCCTTCACTGAAGAAACTGCTCGTATCAAGGTTAAAGCTGCGCAGGATGTATGGAATACAAAGTATATAACCTTAACCATTGTTAATCCTATCTTATGGTTTGAACGCACATATCATTAACCCAATAATTATATAGAAATCCCCAAGTAGTAAAGAATGCATACACCACCGATTCCATCTGGAGAAACCACGATACATTCCTCCAAGGCCACGATGAAATCGTCGCATTCTTGAGTAAGAAATGGGAGAGGGAAAATGGATATCGATTGCGGAAAGAATTATTTGCGTTTCGGGATAATAAGGTGTGTTTTTGTGTGATGCTTGAATGAACATTCGAATGAATACTCGGATGAATACTGGAATGAATACTGGAATGAGGCATATGCTGATGAGTTATTTGATTCATAGATAGCAGTACAGTTCTGGTATGAGTTTTATGATGAATCGGGTCAGTGGTGGAGATGCTATGGGTTGGAGGATTGGACTTTTGCGGAGGATGGGCGGATGAGGAAGAGGCAGATGAGTGGGAATGATGTGAAGATTGGGGATGGGGAGAGGTGGTTTAGGGAGGGGGTTGATGTTAATGAGGTTGAGATCTCGGAAAAGCATTGGTGAACTGATTGATGGCTGTGGTTTGAGGAGAGGGTAGATGTGAATGAAGTTGAGATTTCGGAAAAGCATTGGTGAATTGATGGCTGTGGTTTGAGTAGGGGTAGATGTGAATGGTGCTGAGATTTGGGGAAATTATTGATGAAAGGGTGTTGAAAGATCCAGTACTTCTTTCTTGAGGTTATAAAATGTTAATGGCAAGGTACATAGGATCGATGGGTACAATGTTGCATGAAGCCATTGATTACGTAACCAAAATTGACATTCTTCTTTCCACGTTATTTTGCTTTTTTTCATTTTTGATATATAGAGCCATATCGAACAAGACCACACTTTTTAATGATAAGAGTATTTTGATCTCACTATCTAACTCGGATTTACTCGAGTACAATTCACGCCCATCTCTTGCGAGCTTTAACCAATATTTATCACTCATGGTCAACATGTTTACATCTCATGATTGAAGGTTTGTCGGATTAAACCTCCAATGGCATATTGAAACGCATTTATAGGACTTTGTGCTTTGGGAAGAACTCTCACTTCATATAGGACCTACCTTTCTTGAACGTTTCTCAACGAGATCTTTATACTCTAAAAGCTGAATGGGAACAACGAACTGATTACTTTTTGGAAGCTTTGGCCGTGGCGAGACAGTTAAGACTTTTAACCTTTTCTTGTCTTCATGTGCTTAACTTCAGTTTTTAGCCGGTTCTAAAGGCTATCAATAGCCTAACGGCCTGGTTGAAAATTTACATCTCATGATCTCTAACATAATTTAGTGCTCGAAGTGGGAAGATGCTTTTGAACTTGGAATTGAAGGCTTGAACGGCGACCAATTTCAACCTTTATTTGTATGAAATTGCAAAGATTCCGTGGTCTAAGTAGGCCTGTAGTAACTTCAAAAAGGAGATGACACTCCGATTTCTCTTTCTAGCCAGTTGCAAGCCCTGCTGATTCACGGATCGTTGTGTTGTGAAGTTGAACAATCGCTCCAACAGATCGATGGCAACCACCATTGCACCTTCCTTCGAAGCTTCTGAGCGTTTCTTATACATGATCGTCTCTCTTACCTTCGTTTCTCACGATTCCTTCCATAAATCGTGTTTCTGTATACTCTTTTGGTCGGACTTTTGTTTCAAATAGTTTCACATTTTTAACTACTTGTGCCTTTTTGGCGCTCACCAACTTGAAATAATGTTGGCCTTCATACCTTACCTAAGGGAGGTCATAATCAACGTTAAATCATCGTCCTGATTACGTTAGTACGCATTCAAGTACCAGAGAATTCTCGAGAGACTCCAGTATGGATCTTACTCAGACACACTCAAAAAGTTCGAGCAAATTTTCTCAGGGTATTCCGGAAGCTCTATCAGTCGATAACATTATCAATGGCTCAACTTGTCCTGTAAGTTCAGTCTCCCATTTGCACACTGTAACTTTGTTCTAGGCATTTTGACCTCGAGATTCAACTAGTTTCGCCGACTCTATATCTTCTGATGGCGAGAGATCACCGGGGCTGTATTTCACACTTCGTACCGCATCACATTGCTAACATTCTCCTAGCCCATGACTGTTAGGGAGTTTATGAATTATCTCGAATACATTGAACACGCTCCAGAAAATCTTCAATTCTTCCTCTGGTTTCGAGATTATACACTTCGTTTCGAGAAATCAAAGCCATCCAATCCCTTCTCAACACCCCCCACAACAGCCACTTCAGAACGCAAGGACTTTGCCTCAGAATATCACAATGATTCGGCAGTTCGGTTCTGCGATGGTGTTGATGATGAGAGACCAATAAATCAAATCAAGTCAATCATGAATTCTCCACCTCAATTTATAGCTCCTTGGGAGACAGATTTTGATAAAGAAGGGAGTTCCTTAATGGAAGTTCCCTCGTCAGCACAAGATTCATATCGTGTGGTTGCCGAGCAAACCTTCATTCGTTCTGGTGTTAAGATTCCTGGTAACTTTTCTACCATCTCCTTTTCGAAATATGAAGCTGACTCTATTTCCAGATATCAATTTGCCACACCGTGATGAAATTGATCGAATCATTGCCATATATATTGCAGATAATGGCTCTCGTCAACTCAATCTTTCCTCACGTCAAAGAATCGGTTTGCTCGAACGTCTTTCAACTACAACTCACCCCACTGCCTTCCAACCCATCGTGGAAACTGTCGAATATAGTTTGAGAAACCAAGCACATCCCAATTTCATCCGCTGGAGCATTAGCAATAGCAATAAGCCACGTCAGATGTTTGCCAAAGGCCTTGGTGCCACTCTTATCATTTTCGGTTTCTTTTACGCAATTCTTGCGACCCTTAGTAACATGTCTCGAGGATGGCGTGCCTTTTCAGCAGTATTTTGGGTCATGGGTATCTCCACGTTGTATGCGGCATTCCGTGGGATGTGCATCGTACTTCATGGTCTTCATCATCGACATCTCCGGCCTTGGGAGTTATGGGAGTCCGAGGAATCTGCTGTCTACCTGGACGACAACTCTAGCGGTGGAAAGGATGTAGAGTATCCATGGATTAAGAAATACGAGAAGAGATGTATCATCAGAAAGATCTTTGATCGAGAAGTCTGGGTACAAGAGCCAGCGTTGAGACAGATACAGGATATTATTTTCCTGCAGTCTTTACTAACCGGATTTTCTGTGGCTATCGCATTAAACATCATCTTCTTGGCTGTTCCAGAAGGTCGTTTCTTTTGAGTGGAAGCCTGAGAGAGATTAAAACGAGAGACGTGTTATGAATTTCCATAATAGTATATTGGGCTGATGATATGATATAGATGATGAAATGGCTGGGGAGTTCCTGTTTGCTATGAGAAATTCGCCGGAGCTGCTGCTTTGCTGCTCTCTATTTAATATGAGATAAGTATAGGAGTTAATTAAGAGGTGGATTTTATTGAATCTTGGCCGGATACCATGAAATAATACTTTTAACTCATCCTGTTATTGTATTCTACTTTCCATCAGCTTGATCCTCGATGAAGATCTGATTGTTCAAAATATCATAAGCTGACTACCGGTATTGTATTATGATCTCAAGACTTTAAGATTAATACCATCCAATGTTTGAACTTGATGGGGATATTCACAATGCACAAGATGTGAGAAGTGCATCCTTCAGTTCCTGAAATTCAGTCCTAGAAGACTATCGAACATTTGCAACGGAAGATCAACCGATCTTCTGGGAGCCGGCAGGAACAAATGCATGTTTTATCTTCCAGATAGTATATTTGTATGAGTACTCGAGTATAATTCAATTGGTTATCTTTGCCGCCGGATAAATGCTCTCACTTTCCGCCGCCTTTAACCCCCGTTGAGATTTCAGCCCCTATTAACAATGTAACACCCACACTCCTCAAAAGCAGCACTAGATCCTCGAAAATCCTCCTACCAACCCTTGAACGTACGATACGATACCGAACCCGACGACATCTCCTCTTTGCCCCATCAAATGAACCATTTCCTCTCAAAGCCTAAGCGTTCGCGTTCACTAGAACCAATTCCCGGACCCTCTTTCTCACTCATTCCCGATCGTATGAGCCACGCCATTTCAATCCACCATATTTCAACAGAGCATAGCGTGACGATCACCGCGTAGAATAAGGCATAGATCTAAACTCGACGTTCATTATCCAACGGTCGTTGGCGCACTATTCCATTTGAGAATCGACGGGGATTGATTTGATTGACTGTATGGACAGTGGGCCACGGTTCGTTTTTAGGGCTGTTAACCTGTACCGGTAGTCAAAACAGACGCGGCACGGCATGGAAAGCATGGACTTGAACTTGAACTTGGACGCGGATCTGCAGCACCGATTAGATCTACAACCTTCTAATAGAAATGGAAATGGAAATATCAGTGCACCTCACACTACGGGATCTAGACACGGCCCGGGATCAATTTCATTTGCGTCGGATTCTCAATTCGGAATTCATGATTCAAATGGGAATGGTAATGTCAATTTCCAGATATCCGGGCCGGATGTAAACATTATCGCCGCTTCTTCGCAATCGTTTCTGAATTCGCAAGATAGTATTAGTCCTGCTGCGAATCAACCGGATGGGGTTGAGGATGGGGTTGATGATGCTCAGATGCAGGGACAGAAGAAAATCAAAGCTCCGAGGTTGTATCATAAGAAGTCGAGGAATGGATGTCAGAGATGTAAGGCGAGACGTGTTAAAGTATGTTTTATCTTTTTATTGATTGGTTTGCTTTATATGATTGATTGATCTTGCTTCTGTTCTTTTGAATGTTGATATTGGTACCACGACAAGGAATTGTAAGAGCTTACATTTCGCTTGCACTTGGGTACTACTTGATTCAGTATTTGTACGACGGAGGATTTGATGTTCATGAATGACAGTTGATGTCTTACGGTAGAAGAAGATCCAGAGAAAGTTCTCTGCTCAAACATCATTTCTTTTCTAATTTTGCTATGCATGTATGCAATTTAAAGCTTATTCTTCTACCTATTCAGCTCGACATACTAGTATCCGATCGTCTCTAGTTTTTTGTTATTCATTGTAAGCAATATCAGATCTCAAAACTCTACTAACCAGTCTATAGTGTGACGAGATGAGACCTATCTGCAATAATTGCATAAGGCATAGGTTATCATGTGTTTATTCCAAACCGCCACCGCCCCCTACAACATCACCTTCTCAGACCATCAAATCAAATTCCAGCAACCCCTCCACACCAGAACGTATCAGTGTACACACTCTCGTGAAAGACTTAAGCAGCACTTCGGTTTCACCCCAGATGGATCTCTCAATTCCTCTATCTCCAAGTCAAACCTATAGCGACGACCTACCCGAATCCAGTGCCCGTCGAATGCTCGAACTTCGGCTACTTCAAACTTACATAATCCACACCTCTCCTACATTTCCTAGCTGTCATAACCCCGAAACTCTCAATCTCTGGTCTGTAGTTGTTCCCAAGCTCGCTTTTGCATCCCCGAATCTTCTCTACGCTATGTTTGCTATTGCCTCTCTACACCTTCACGTACTCTCTCCCAACGATGTCGAGATACAAGGAGCGCGTCAACACTACCTTTCTCTAGCATTACGTCATCATCAAAAAGGAGTTGCTAGTTTAAATCCCAGTACCGCTGACGCAGTCATGTTTACCTCAGTACTCATTCTCAATGATGCCTTTTCGAGTTTACAAGTACGTTCCATGAAACCATACAAACTACCTATGCATTGGCTCCAAATGGCTCGAGGAACCGCATCAGTCTTTGCCGTCGCATTAAGCATGATACGACACGATCCAAACGCCAAAGCAATGGCACTCCTCCGCACCAAACCCGCCCTCACCAAACCAGAAGAAAGAATCAACCGTCCCGAAATCCACCCCCTATTCAACGCAATCCTCACCTACCCCTCTCCCCATACCAGCATCTCCCCGCAAATCTACCCCCACCCCCACACATACATCATCTACACCCCCACCCTCAACCCCGACCCCTCCATCCCCCCCTCCCACCTAACAGCCTACACACAAACCCTCAGCTTCCTCTCCACCATCCACCTCCACATCACACAACACGAACACCCCATGGCCACCGCCCGTCGCTTCACAGCCTTTGGTCTCCAAGTCCCCAAACTCTTCATCGATCTGGTGGAAGAGAGACAGCCGCGTGCCCTAGTCATCTTTGCGTATTATTTTGCTATGGCTACGTGTTTGGTTGAGGGCGCGGGCCCTGCTAATAGCATCACGCTGCGGATGAGGAATGGTGAGGATGCGGATTTGGAGAAGTCGTTTTGGTGGTTGGGGGATGTGGTGCGGAGGGAGGTGGAGGGGATTAGTGCGATTTTGCCGGGGGGTTGGGAGGGGTTGATGGGGTGGCCGAGGAGGGTGGCGGGGTTGGGGGAGTTGGGGTTGGGGGAGTTGGGGTTTGGGTAGAGGGTAGGTTGGGTGGGGATGAATTGGATTGATCTGTATGATGGGACAGGATAAGATGCGGTGCGGTGCGGTGCGGTGCGGTGTTTCAATTTATATATTACAAGGTTGTATGAATGGAGTTTGGGCACATATAATTATAGGGTTAGGACAGTACTCATGTACATATATATCGGCGGAGGGATATTTGTCAATTCATCTGTGATATCAGCATCTCTTAGCATCTCTTGTAATTTCTTTGTAATTTATAACTATGATATACCTTACCTAGTAGGACTTGATTACAATTTACACAGAATGACACAGCCATACATATAGTACATATAGAACAATAACAATAACGATACAAGATAGCAATCTAAACCCCATATCCGAGTTAATTCACAAGAGAGCTCACAAATCTAATCTTTACATAGTGACCTGGAGTTTGTATAGTACATCTATTGTGATCGCTCACTACTTGAGTACTGTAATGAGTATTTTCATATCTGCATTGTCGAATGTATAACTCGAATGATTGCCGATATATAATTAGGAGGTATGTGCCAGTGCAGTGCCAGGATAATGCATTGTATGGTATGGTTGCTTTCAGATCAGACATCAATGCCGATGATGTCTGACCAATAGTTGGGGCTTGGCTATGCTGTGTAGTACCGGTACTGTTACTGGTATGCCTTTCCATTTCAGGGTTGTTGTTTGGTGAGAGATTGGGACAGGATTGTGATATAAAAGAAGAGCGTTGTTGTATCAACTTGTATGAATGATGAGAATCATGATATGGGAAGAATTGAGCCTAGGAATTGGTAGATTGTTGGGAGTATAGATTGGAAGAAATATGCAATAGTTCGATGGATGCAGTTGAAGAAGAAAAGCCACACGCCCCGGCATTAAACCTTGCTGGGTCGTCCCTGGAATATGCATGGCGATAATGTAGTAAAAGCCTATCAGTCCAACACATCATATCATGACACAGGGCAAAAGCTTAAGTTAAGTATTGGATCGTCAGTGGAGTCTAGACAGTTCAGACAAACTGTTTCTGAGTATACTGTCGTAGATACTGTATTCAGCTTGCATGAATTGGAAGAATGAATGGGATTCTGGAAGAGTAACCTTATATACCGGTACTCGGAATTCAGACGACTCTTCTGTTGCCATGATATCGATGGAGATTTGATAACGCCCCTCTCAAGGCTCTCGAAACTAGTCAAGATCTACCTGATTAACCCTGGAGATCGTAGTCGGAAAGTCCCTATAATGTTGAATAGAAAGAAAAAAGAAATGGGGCGGCTATCTGTTCCTGCTTTGCTGTCGGTGCCCACTGACTAGAGAGATGGATCATTGGGATTGATGGCATGTACAGTATTACATAAGCATTTTCATTGATTGATGACCTGTACCTTTATATTTATCCGTCTTCGTACAAGTTTCATACTTGTACTCAACACATTGACCGTTTTTGTCCCTCGAAACACATTAATCTTGAGTCCTCATATACAGTACAGTATAATTGATCTACCGTTCATATCATAATCGAGTATTTTCACTTATGCGGAGCCAGAAGAGATGATAGACCTAGACTATCATTAAATCCTACCCCTTCACCGCAGCCCGTCACAATCGATAAGCGCTTTGTTAGAGTTCAACCCCCCGTTCCCCCCCCTCTCTTGGACTTCCTTCCTTGAAGTTAGATCGGCTTCTTCGGAGAGGGTTAGATAATGTTAGTCAATAAAGGACTTGCATGACAGAGGTATTGTTCTTCTTTATGCTCTATTTCCAAATCATTTTCTTTCATATCTTGTCTCCACATCCACACTTTCATACATCCACACATCCATCAACAGCTCAATTATCCATCTTTGCTTTTTACGTCTGATCTGCTCGTCGTGTATATCTCTAATCGCGAATAGATTCGCTGGTCGTTTTTAGAATATCTCAATGCTTTAGATCATTTCTTCCGGTCCTCTATTTCCTTGAGTTTAAGATACCCTTCTTTGTTCAACGCCGTATACGATGCGTTACGCTATGATTTCCTTACGCCGAATTATACTGGGAATTGTCCTGGTCTATGTGACTTGGTTCGGAGCCACTTCACTACACCAATATCTAGATCCGAATACACATATATCAGAGGAAATGAGAGAGGATGCGCATTGGATCGCAACATCAAAACACTTTTTAGATAGGCAAGCATGTAGATGGCTTGGTCTTTGTGGGCTTGCTCACTACCATTCCGATCCTGCTTGGAAAAGACGATTGAATAAGGTTACAAGGGACCAGAAAGTCATGGCAGATGATGGCTTCGATGCAGATTGGGTAGAATGGGACGATGCCTACAAGAATGCACCAAAAATGCGCCCGGATGATTGGTATGGCGATGAAAGAGTGTTGAACGAAGTTCCAAAATATGTTCTTGACCACGCACCTCTCGTACATCTGTATTCTGGCGAAAAGTTCTGGCCCGCGGACATTAAGGATCATTTGCAACATGTTACTCCTTACGAAAACCATACATCATTACATATGAATACTTCCGAGCCTACGCTACACAATTTACATCTACTGAACGAAGGACGCAGAGGTCGAGTCTTATTCATGCAAAGCAAAGACGATGTTGAAGATAGACCAACGTGGCTTGGGAGTGCCTACAACAAACCTATACCATATGAAGATGAAATCAAAATTGAGGAGGATTGGGAAGTAGCAGAAGAAGAAGAAGAAGAGGAAGAAGTGAAGGAGTTCATCGAAACCAAAGAGGATGGCCAGGAAGCCTGGGACGATGCGAGTGATGAAGATAGAATTAAGATTGCCGCACCATTAGAACCATCTTTTCGCGCACAACCTCAAATCACAGGACAGCGTCGACGTGATTTGAAGAAACGTGGAGATTCTTCGGGAAAGCCAGATCAATCGGGATATTCTCCAGCTCCGGCGACATTGATCATTGTGGACAAAGGACATGGTATCGTTGATGCGTTCTGGTTTTACTTCTATTCTTACAATCTTGGCACGACTGTTATGAAAATGCGGTTCGGAAATCATATTGGTGATTGGGAACATTCTTTGATTCGTTTTCACAACGGTGAACCCAAAGCCGTGTTTTTTTCTGCCCATTTTGGTGGACTAGGATATCATTACAAAGCAGTCGAAAAGGGCCATGGTCCAGGAAGAGAAGGAAGACCAGTGATATATAGCGCTGTAGGATCCCACGCAATGTATGCTACTCCCGGCACCCATCCATACGTTTTACCATTCAAAATTCTTGCGGACGTCACCGACAAAGGCCCAATCTGGGACCCCGCTCTCAATCACCGAGCTTATTTCTTTAATACTTCTCTTACCCATGATGTCGATGCAAGATTCGCAACCTCCAACTTCCCGGTCCAAACTATGGTCGATTCTTTCCAACCCGCGGCTCAAAATCCCGATGCGCCTACTGGTTGGTTTTGGTTCAATGGACATTGGGGTGATAAATTCTACGAGTTGTCCGATTGGAGACAGTGGAGATTCGTGGGGCAGTATCATTATGTGAATGGACCCTTAGGACCGAAATTCAAGAACTTGGGGAGGAGTAGGGTTTGTCAGTCTGGGACGACATGTATATTGGTGGATAGTCTAGAGAAGGGGAAACATAGGAGTTGGGTTGGGAAGAAATGAGTTGGGATGAGATAGATTTGGGTTTCATTATCCTTTGTTACTTGCGAGAGTGAGCGAGAGATGAAGATTTAGACTGGGTATAGAGGATAAATCATTCCTTTTTTTTTGTTGAGAACTGAATGAAATTTGGGAGGGGGGAGGTGTTTTTGGATTTTAATTTTATTGGAAGGTCATGGTGATGATAATGACGTTGACGATAGAGGAGAAGCGATGTGATGAGTAATGACAAATGGGTTGGATGAATGGGTGAGTGACAAAGGATATATGAAGCATCAAAGGTGCCGAGGAATTACAGAATAGATTGGATATTATCCATCGGGGAATAAAAGATTGGAAATCAGGAATGCGTGAGGCATCTTCTGGAGTTCATCTATAATGGATGAGGTGTAGATATCTACATGTACGTAAGCTCAATATTGAATATAGTATATATTTTACATTTCTCTATGCAGAGAGGCCGGAGTTTTCAAAGATTACGAGTAGATGTGAACAAGATTAATGGTGAAGCTGCGGAGTTGGAGTCGGTACTGGGGAAAATATAAATTATATACTCGAGTAATGGGTGGTAGAGAAGGGTGGGATGGAAAGGGGATGGAAAGGGAATATAAGGGGAGAGGAAGTGGAAGCGGAGGGGGAAGCCGATGGTGAGTAATAAAGAGCACTATGGAGAATATCTCGGCTACGGTAAGGAAATGAAGCCTTTGTACCCGAGTATTGGAGCACTTACCTACATATCCTCTTACCCCCCTCCTTACCCCCC